TTGCCATTGACGTAAGGAAAGTGGCTGTTTGAGTGCCAATGGAACGAGGCGTTGGATTTTCTCCCAACGATCTTGGGGTACAAACATCTTGCCCAGACTCGTGTCAAAGAGGGCTCCGATGAACTGGAGATGTTGTGTTGGAATAGTTTCGGACTTTTTTGGGTTGATGATCCAACCTAGTTGATGAAGTAGGCGTTGAGAGAAATCGAGGTGATGAAGTAGAGTGTTCGAATCCTTGTTGGCTTGAATGCAGTCGTCGATGTACGTTTCGAAGACGATGCCTCGAGTGTGTAGGAACTTGACGATGGGTTTTGTGAGGCGAGTAAATAGCCACGGGGCCGAAGAAATTCCAAATGGGAGTACTCACCATTGGTAGTGTTGGCCTAGGAACACAAACCGAAGAAAATGGCGGTGCTCTGGCAGGATAGGGACGTGCAAGTACGCGTCTTGTATATCTAGGCTGATCATGAAGTCGCCGGGATGAATAATCGTTCGTAGTAGAGCGATTGATGTCATGCGAAAGTGTGGAGGAGTCTGTAGGTATAGTTTGTTGAAGGTTTTCATGTTGAAGATGAGACGGAGTTGAGGACTGTTTTTCTTGGGAACCAGAAAAATTTGAGAATAGAGCCCTGGTGTCATTGGCTGAGTGCCCAGACACTCTATTGCTTTCTTTACAAGTAACGTGTTTATGGCGTCTATGAGAACTGGAAGTTGTTTGGCTGGATACAGATGCTGAGGCGGTTTGCACGTCGTCAGAGGTGTGGTGGCAAGAGGTAGAGGATAACCTGTTTGTAGGAGACGAGACACATATGGGTCGTCTAGGATGGTCCAGTTTAAAGCGAACGTGCCTAGTCTTCCGCCTACGGGAGACGAGAAAATCGGAATGGCTGGAGTTGGAAGGTCCCTGTCGTTCTGCTGTTGTAGTGAGTCATTTGTGGTTAGTGTCTCCTGGCTTAGGAGAGTTTTTGTTTCCTTTAGTCCTTGAAAAGGAGACGGTGCGTCCGCCTGATTTCCCTCCTCGCTGATGTTGGCGTGCTCGGCCACGGCCACGAAAAGTAGCAGACCTATTACTCAAAACTTCTCTAAGGTCTTGTTGAGAAGGAGTAAAGGTTGGTCGTCTTCAGTCTTTCCTTTGTTTATCCAGTTGATTTCTCTGGAGACGAAGTAAGTCAACAGTGACTTGCAGGGAAGTGTCTCTTTGGACTTCATGGGCGACCTCCTGTATGCGCCCAGCAAAAAGGGAGGGTGTTGACCATGGCATTTGGTACAGCCTGTTTTTGAATTGATCATCCCATGAGCAATGTTGTAACACCCCCCGTCTACGAAGAGAAGTGATAGATCCCGCATGGTGAGCAAGGAGGTCTAGTATAGCTGTCGTTTTATCCTGGATGAGGGTCACAGCACCTCGAATACAGGATTCTTCCGAGGAAGATGCATGAGCTAGAGCCGACAAAAAGTGCTTCAGTTGCTGATAAAATAGTGGAGACCAACGGGAGGGTCCTTCGAACAGTGGTGTCGAGGTGAACGAGGTCCCTGTCATCCACTGAAGAAGCTGAGTATGGACGCTTAGGAGCTAATGTTGCGATGTCACCATCTAGTTCGGGAGAAATTGTAGACAAGCCATGCGTCCCTGCATCTGCCAATACAAAGCGTGGAGATTGAAGCCGATCACGAAGATGGCGAAAGGATCCAAATGCTTTGTCTAAATTGGTGGCCATATCCTGTAGGACTGGTCTCGGAAGGAGTGTGATGTTTGGCGACGAGGCTGAAGGCACAACAAATGATGATAAAGTGTCCTCCGTTGAAGTGCTTTTTAACAATTGTAACTTATCTGCTATCCAGATAAGTACAGTGATCGGATCCGCTTTGTCGAAGCTCCCAGAAGACGAAGCTGGGGAGGTATAGTGGTCTGATTACTCTGATTCTGGTGGTTGATCCACTGAAAGGGATGTAGTGGGTGTCGATGCAGATGGAGGTACCGTAGTTGGTACAGCAGGTGCCGGTTGGGGAAGACATGCTGCTGTTACAGCCTGTAACAGAGAAAGAATCTGTTCTGCTGGAATAGCAGAAAGTTCGCTAGGGATCCATGATGTAGGGATAGCTTGAGATGGAGCTTGTGATGTTTCAGGAGTCTGTGATTCAGAGGAAACAGGAGGGCGTCGATGGGGAGCCGGTACGATGAGTAGGTGAAGTAGAACTCTGCCTATCTTTAGCTGAAGGACATCTACTAACGGTAGCTGATCTGAGTTGTCTATCTCTATGTCGCCGAGGAGAATCCTCATGACGAGAAGAGGAAAAGTGGCTTGACCGATAAGGTCTGTAATCTGATTCATGAGGATACCCATGCCATGGAGGGTGGGGATACTTGTAGTGTGGGTATCGTTCCAACTCATGTGCGTAGGCACTATATAAAGTAGTGTTCCACGGGTAATCACCACGTTGATGAAAATCAAAAGTGTGAGGGTAATCTCTTGGTCGAGACTCCGGATGGGTGAGTGAAGGAGAAGATCGAGACATGTAGGATGAATGGTGGCTAATAGACTCGTTGTAGCGTTCATCCTCCGACCCTAGACGTGATGGGTCTGAAAAGTCTCTTCGTGAGACATGATAAGGGGATGAGCGATAATCCTCTCGCCTGTCATAAGACGAGTAACGATCTGTAGGTGAACGTCACTATTAGGGGAGTCTCTCGAATGTCTCCGTTCCTTGGAGGTCTTATGAACTCTCGTGTCCCGTTGATGTGTGTTGATACTTAGGAGTCCGTATGTCCTTCGAAGTTCGGTTCGATGATGTTCGTTGAACCTCAGAGGTTCAACGAGGCTCGAATCTCTTTTGTTTGTCCGAAGATGTACGATTCAAACGTGACTGTCGCACCTCAGGAGTACAGCGATGTTCGGAGGTTCCACGATGTTCGAATGTTTGATGAGGTTCGGAGGGTCGGAAGTTCGATGAGGTTCGGAGGTTCAAGTTTGGAGGTTGGAGGTTGGAGGTTGGAGGTTTGGAGGTTCGAAGTTCGGAGGATCGAGGTTCGGAGGCCCGATGTTCGTAGGCCCCATGTTCGTAGGTTCGAGGTTCAGAGGTTCGGAGGTTCGGAGGTTCGGTGTTCGGAGGTTCGAGGTTCGGAAGTACGAGGAACCTTCGATGGTGGGATGTTCGGTGAATCACCTCGGTGTCGAGAGTGAGATGTCCGTTGGTCCCAGTCTGAATGCCGATCCCCCGATGATTGCACTGAATAAAGTGCACTGACTGTCGATGCTAGTCAATCCCGGGACGAATGTCTATCGTCTTGTGAATCCTCTCGGGAATGGGAGGTTCGTGAACCTTGATCCGATGAGTCGTCATACGACTCCTGGTCTTGAGAGGATCAATCCTGCGAAGATCGTCGTATGGAGATTTTGAACGATGGACCAAACTTATAGGGTCGACCGAGGTACCAGTACCATGTGTACCCTCTGAAGTTAAAACAGGAGCGAGCTCCATGTTAGTCGTAGAACACGACGAGTCGAAAGTACGAACGTCGGTCGGGTTCGATACGTTGGCTGACGTAAGCCTGTCATCCACACTCGTGTCTAATGAGAGGACTCGTCGAATGTCCGAGTCTCGGGATGTGGAGGGTAGGTTCAGCTTTGAAGGTGGATCTGTGGATACCTTAGACATGTCGTCTGTGAGAAAAGAGTCAGAGACCCCCTCATCGTCTAACGAGATAATGGGACCAGTTTGATCCCTAGTATTCTGCCCCGCCTGTGAGGGTGATCGGGCCGATCTCGCTTTCTTGACCGGTGTTTTCTTGGCTTTCATGGATTTTTCTGCAGTCTTAGAGAGAGGATCTGACACCCGACGCCGACATTTATGCAGGTACAGTTTGAAGGATTCATCTGGTATATCGGAGGAGAGCTTGCAACGCTCTAAGAAACTGCATAATCCACGACAATTCCGAACATTGGGCATGAGGGTCAGACGGAGAGAAAACACGTCGGCACAAAGTGCAGACGGGTCTCCGTGTTGACTGCTCGTCCATTATGATGAATAACTATCCCAAACAGGGATATAAGTAAATTTGCAGGCAATTAGACGACAAAAATATGAAGATCGCTTGCAAGCGAAAAAGAAAAACCCAAAATGAATTCCTGTAATAACAACACGTCACCACTGCGTGGCGATTTGAAAGAGAATGAGTTGACTGGGATAGACACGTGATCAGTGCAAGGTCAACCAGCATGCATAGCGCGCATGACCCAGATCTGGGAGGTGACCGTGGCGATGTGAGGTATGACAGGGTTAATTAACTTTAGAAGCTGGAAACTTTTATTTCAGATATGTTTCCACTCAGAATCGAAAGAAGAAAGAGAAATGCATAGTGTGAGATAGGATTAGTTTAAAAATTTAAAGTAGCCAAATTCCCAGGCTTGCCAATGAGGGTTTCCTCCTAGTGTTGATATATTTGATATCAAAAGAAACGAGAGTGACATTTTTGTATATCAAATATGATTGTGATTCATCTATTACAATAACAATATATTAATTTGTTGACCACATAAACTTTTGAGACCATTTGGAAATCATTAAGGCGCATACCCTCGAAAGAAAATATCAAAATGCATTTCTTTAATTCGTGACTGACATGTTTGCACCCTGTTTGATGTAAAAGTATAATATTTTTGAGTAAGCACTATTAAATACTGCAGTTGTATTTATGTGTGTTGAAAAATCCAAAGATATCAGGAGATATGGTCCGGACAAGAGCACTACCCTCAAATTTCCTAAGTTCATCATATTTCCATGGAAACGACAAAAATATAAAATTCTAAAAATCTCTAAATAGCAAAAGGCACTACTACTGAGCCTGATTGGTAAGTGTACCAAGTTTTGTGAAGCTAGGTTGTACGGTTTAGGAAATATGCTCCGGACAAACAATGATTACAGACGGACATACTGATGGCTATATCCCCCCGTCATTATATATGTCGGGGGGATAATAAATACAAGTCATGAGATGTTGGTATTGTTCAACTGTTTATTTCTACATGATGTAAATCATCCTGACAATAGAAGAAAATGCTAAAAACTATTCTGTTGTACAAAATATGCAGAACAATATCAGTATGCAAAAATAGATGCCACATTTCTTTAGATATAAATCTTAGCTAATAAGAAAAGTGTAAGTATAGAAATACAGAGAATTGTGCATATCCTCTCAATGAAGGTATCCAAGTAGATGTGATGATGGAAAAAATATGCATGACATAGAAATTGTTTTTCTCATATTTGCTAAAGTTCCAAAACCGGAAATAAATAGAAATGTCTACAATATGAAGTTGGAGGTATAGTTCTACAATGTACTCAAGGAATGCTGAGTGCTGGAACGATTAATCAATGTATACATGGGTAGCGACATGACGTGTTTGTGACAAGCAAACCAGATATATCTTGTCGGACCATCACATAACTGGTTTGCAGGTCTTGATATACAAAAGGTAGGAAATCTTGGTTACATCACGATTGTCACCGACATATATTTAAAGACATTTATTTCAAAGCTCTTCATTCTAAAAATGACTGGTATAGACATTTTCAGACACTGACTTTACCATATTTATGTTCTTAATACTGTCTTGTAAAGCATGTATGGCAATATTGCTATACTGGACAAGATATTTTTCAAAGAAACAAATCTTTACAACGATAAAAGTATAAGGGAGCATTCCACTCCATTCCTAATTTAACGTGAGTACTGCACCTAAACCTCAGAGAAACATCTGATAGTCGACTGAGGATGTCCAATATGTCTATTGATGTAGGCCTGCATTGTCATCTGAACTGTCCTCAGATTGAATTTAGGCTAAAAACTATCAATATTTTATTAAATAGTGTTCCAGAAAACAGTGCCTTCCAGCACGACCTAGTCATAAGTGACATACAAACCTACTGAGTGACTTGACCAGCTGTAGAATTGATGTGGCTTTCATGAACATTGTCACAAATTAATTTTGATGGATTGATTTACTATCAATATTTGGAACTCAAAATGTTTACACAAAGGCAGATGGACAGATAATGTGCAATTAAAAATCTGTACAGGATGCAGTGTTCGAAATAAGCATCTGTCTGAAGGCCTGTGGCAGGCTGATCTCATGTTGAGCCTGTTTCAAATTAGTGTGGGTCCTTTAAGTGTCGATCTATTTGTCACAGTAAGCTGCAGGTTTTTGGGCCTTGGGCGTGACGAGCGTACAATTTAACCACTAGGCTACCCCACTGCACCTACTACATAAAGACGCAGACAGTTTTGGTTATCCCACTCTCCATCATGGAGTCCAGCTATTGCAGAAATCATCAAGTCCCTTGCACATGTCCAGTAGTAACTAGAATATACAGGGACTTTCCTTGCTCTATTTGTGAGTACTGGGTTTTTTCAGTAATCATTTTGGGAGGTCCAAGGCATGGCATCCCAGGCTAAAATTGTACCAAATTGTTTTTAAAAAAATCATGATTTGTTAAGCCTCAGTTATACTTATTTGAAGGGAATTTAATTTCCTATCATAATAGAAATGACAGTCAAATGAAAACTGAACAAGCTTCCATGTTGACTCGCAATGCACGTTATATGCATTCATTCTCATTTTAATGCATCATAGGAAACACTCATCCAGAAAAACAACTGGTTAATAGATATTTTTTTATCTATAATGTCTCTAATGTCCCTGTACAACAGGAAGTTATTTCTGGTTAAGATAAAAACTTGTAACTTCCTATCCCTTGCAGGTCCATGAACCAGGAGATACCTGACTGTGTGAAACATTCAAATGTCCTTGACATAGAACCAATCATTCTCAATGTATCCGCTCTCATCTGCAATGTAAGAAATAACTAAAATACATCATTTGCAATAGGGTTTCCAGAACGTCCTGTGGTAGTTAGTTGTACACAAGTATGTATGAATGTAAAATGGCTGACAGCACACATGGTTCTTTCAACAAGTGTATTCAAGAAAAGAATGAAGTGTTAACATGAGCAATATTCAGTGTCCGACTGTCAGGACTACCAGGCAACTTGTTAGTTATACATCTCTGACAATTTGTGAAATTTGGTTTTCCCAACATGGTAGAAATCAATGCAGTGTGTAGGTTATGTACAAACAAAGTGTTCTCCAGCAAACAAAGCTACTAAATCAACAATAGTGTCAGTGTATAACAAAACTATCACAGACATACAGAGCAGTACACAGCCACTCTTGATCAACAGGAACCTATTGGATACTACTCAACATTAGCTAAAACCAAAAAAGTCATCTTTAGTCAAAGGTGTGGTCCTTAGGAAATGTTGAGTAGTATGTATGGTGTGAAGGCACTAGAAATCATCATCATCTTCGTTCCTGTAGCCGTAGTTCTCAACGAAGGCAGGTTGAGCTCTGGCCTTCAACCCTTTCTTCTTCTTGCTGCTGGCTGGACGCGGCACCTGGGTCTTGTAGTCGAGAGTTAACCCATCTGGATCAGTGCGCTGCCTTTGCAAACCTGGCCAAACATACACAAACATCAGCCATGTTGCTACACAACATGCACATGCAGTAAGTACATGAACTACCATGACCTACTGCACTGTGACAGCAAGACACTACACATCGGAATGTGCTGGTTTAATTCATGATAGGTGTTTCATCTTAATATGTACATGTATGTTAAAACCACTGTAGAAAGAAATGAACAGAACAGGCTGTTACAATTTCATGAGTTTTTAACTCTTGGATACAAAGTATATATTGTGAGTAACTGCAGCGGTAGGAGGCATTTCCCCTGTAAGTATGGAGTTTCTTAATACAGACTATTTCACATGAAAGGATTAGCAAGGCCCATTTTGGCCAACAGGTTCTACGTAACTTAAGAAATTACTTGTGCAAACTTTTGAGAAATATATATGAAAGTTTGCATGTGTTCATATTGATGAGAACTAGACTTTGTTTATGTCAACACTTGTTTGTTTGTACTTATAACAACACCAAATGTATACTAAAGTGAAAATGTGTTGAAAAGGTTGATTTGAGAGGTTTTCAGTTTGCATTTTATACATATTTGAACATCAGTTGTCTTTCTCAGGAGAAGTAAATAATAACATTACAAACATATGGTAAAACATTCATCATGGGTCACAGACTTGCTCAAAGTTTGATTATATTTTGAAATTTGAAAAAATACCATTTTTTGCTCGTTTTAGCTATTCTTTAGTACTTAAAGAATTCAGAATGTAACCTTGCAGGTATAACAAAGACAAAAGGCTGGTTGCCAAACATTGAACATGGCTGATAATTTTTATACTATCATTACAAGTTTCTGCAATATTTCTAGTGGACAAAAAGAGTCCTTTTCCCACCTTGACCTTTCCCCCAGTTGAATTGCTATACATCTAAGGATATGTTGAAGACAGAAATTCTCATTCAGTAAACACATTTGTTTGTTTATTCAATTTTCTTTTTCACTGATTTAAGCACATGTTCACTTACCATATTCTTCCTCGGAGTCATCTTGGGCCGTAGTCAGGGAAGATTTAGCTCGTTTGATGCCAACACGTAACTCTTTGGCTAGCTTCTTCGCTTTCTCATCACCAACACCAGTCTCTGTGGGCAGCAATGACATGAGGAATCAGAGAACAGTGACCAACACCAGCCTTTGTGGGCAGCAATGACATGAGGAATCAGAACAGTGACCAACACCAGTCTCTGTGGGCAACAATGACATAAGGAATCAGAGAACAGTGACCAACACCAGTCTCTGTGGGCAACAATGACATAAGGAATCAGAGAACAGTGACCAACACCAGTCTCTGTTGGAAGCAATGACATGAGGAATCAGAGAACAGTGACTAACACCAGTCTCTGTAGGCAGCAATGACATGAGGAATCAGAGAACAGTGCCCAACACCAGTCTCTGTGGGCAGCAATGACATGAGGAATCAGAGAACAGTGACCAACACCAGTCTCTGTGGGCAGCAATGACATGAGGAATCAGAGAACAGTGACCAACACCAGTCTCTGTAGGCAGCAATGACATGAGGAATCAGAGAACAGTGACTAACACCAGTCTCTGTAGGCAGCAATGACATGAGGAATCAGAGAACAGTGCCCAACACCAGTCTCTGTGGGCAGCAATGACATGAGGAATCAGAGAACAGTGACCAACACCAGTCTCTGTGGGCAGCAATGACATGAGGAATCAGAGAACAGTGACCAACACCAGTCTCTGTAGGCAGCAATGACATGAGGAATCAGAGAACAGTGACCAACACCAGTCTCTGTGGGCAGCAATGACATGAGGAATCAGAGAACAGTGCCCAACACCAGTCTCTGTGGGAAGCAATGACATGAGGAATCAGAGAACAGTGCCCAACACCAGTCTCTGTGGGCAGCAATGACATGAGGAATCAGAGAACAGTGACCAACACCAGTCTCTGTGGGAAGCAATGACATGAGGAATCAGAGAACAGTGACCAACACCAGTCTCTGTGGGAAGCAATGACATGAGGAATCAGAGAACAGTGACTAACACCAGTCTCTGTAGGCAGCAATGACATGAGGAATCAGAGAACAGTGACCAACACCAGTCTCAATGGGAAGCAATGACATGAGGAATCAGAGAACAGTGACCAACACCAGTCTCTGTGGGCAGCAATGACATGAGGAATCAGAGAACAGTGACCAACACCAGTCTCTGTGGGCAGCAATGACATGAGGAATCAGAGAACAGTGCCCAACACCAGTCTCTGTGGGAAGCAATGACATGAGGAATCAGAGAACAGTGCCCAACACCAGTCTCTGTGGGCAGCAATGACATGAGGAATCAGAGAACAGTGCCCAACACCAGTCTCAATGGGAAGCAATGACATGAGGAATCAGAGAACAGTGACCAACACCAGTCTCTGTGGGAAGCAATGACATGAGGAATGAGAGAACAGTGACTAACACCAGTCTCTGTTGGAAGCAATGTCATGAGGAATCAGAGAACAGTGACTAACACCAGTCTATGTGGGCTGCAATGAAATGAGGAATCAGAGAACAGTGATTAACATCGGTCTCTGTAGGCAGCAATGACATGATGAATCAGAGAACAGTAAGGGAAATAGGTATTTTGTAGGGTAAAAATATTATTTATACTTATCCTGACTCATACTTATTGCCTATCTCTACTCATTTCAGAAAGGTAGTGGAAACTTCCTGAACTCTGTTCCCAGAACAGAGAAAATATCTCACCCGAATGCACCCCTAGACTGCGCATACACACCAGAAGCCCGGTCACTCTCTCATTTCACGTAGTTAATTCAGCCGAAAGAGGGGAAGAGGGGACAGCTGGGTGGGCGCCTTAGCGTATGAATCAGGATAAGTATTAATAATATTTTACCCCAAAAATTACATATTTTATCTTATCCTGACTCATAGTTATTGCTTGAATCCTACGGCTGGTAATGGGTTCAACCTGGGCACTGCCGCTCTGACTCTGAGGATTACTGCTCTCATCCAGAAGAAAATGGTTGTTCTGGATACCTCTATGGTATTATTCCTAGATAATGGGATAAACAATCTTCTTAGGTTATGTCATCTGGAGCTTTACCTGTGTAGATAGATGCGAAAGGCTCGAACTGGACAAGGGGATAAATCCTCGGTGTCCTCTGATCCCTGGATTAACGATAGTGGTGGAATATGAAACTGTCCATCTGGCTGATTGGGTAGTTGATTCTTGGCATTAAAATCCCATCTCAGGTCGAAGTGAGCTGATGCAATCTCGCCGTTGTCAAATCGAGTACGTGAGAGGTGAAACAAATGTCATTATTTGCTTGTTGAACCTTGTTGCAAATAAGTCTATTGATGGGCAACCTTTTTTCCTTGTTATCAGCTGGAATGCCTCCGGATGGAGCATCCATTCTGTTGGAAATGGTTTGGACGTCCGGGATAGAATGTCGGCTAGTATGTTAAGTGTTCCTAGGATGTGTCTTGCCCTTATGCGTAAATTGAGACTGTTAGTTGAAAGGTTAATCACAGAAGGGTCGCTGATCTGATCATTCCTCGGAGATTGATGTAAAAGGCCATGGATGAGTTGTCTGTTCTTATCATTAAGAACTTGTGTTTGAGTTGAGAGGCCCAATGCGTTATAGCTTTGATGACGGCTTTGAACTCCAGACATTTTATTGACTGTCAAACACTGTAGATATTTCTTCAGTCTTTGTGGTAGTTGATGAATGAGGTTGGGATAGTCTAGGAATGGTCTCAGAAATCTCTGAAAGGGATGAAGTTGCAGTCTGCCTGCTAGGATGAATGGTCATATGTAGGTAAGCATCTTGAAGATTGATGCTTTATAGATGCTGTTTTCTTAGCTGTCTAAGCTGCGGTAGATGGAACATTCTGAACCTGTCCGGTTTTGGAAGATATTTCTTGTTGACATCTTTTTCATGTTGTATTTTAAACAAAACTATTCTGTTGAGTTCTTTTAGGGTCCAGAAAGGTTGGGGAATAAAATCCGGAAGTCAGGGCATCCAGCTGCACTCTCTCCACCGCTCCCTTCAATAGAAGGGTGAGATTGCCTTTGCAAGCTTGGGCTGCACTCTCTCCACTGCTCCCTTCAATAGGAGGGTGAGTTTGCCTTTGCTAGCTTGGGCTTTTAATCTGTCTGGATATTTTATAGCCAGGGGGTGAGTGAGAGGGGTGGTTCTGCTTGACTGGAGTTCTTTTAGGGTCCAGAAAGGTTGGGGAATAAAATCCGGAAGTCAGGGCATCCAGCTGCACTCTCTCCACCGCTCCCTTCAATAGAAGGGTGAGATTGCCTTTGCAATCTTGGGCTGCACTCTCTCCAACGCTCCCTTAAATAGAAGGGTGAGATTGCCTTTGCAAGCTTGGGCTGCACTCTCTCCACTGCTCCCTTCAATAGGAGGGTGAGTTTGCCTTTGCTAGCTTGGGCTTTTAATCTGTCTGGATATTTTATAGCCAGGGGGTGAGTGAGAGGGGTGGTTCTGCTTGACTGGACTGTTTGAACATGGAATTGATCGTCTGGACTGACTTAACCAGCATCTGGTCTTTAGAATCTTGAACTACTTCCTTATTGGCACTTCTAATGTGGCGATCAAAGGTGGTTTGAGCATTCCATGGTCAGTGAAGAGGAGGCTTCGTATATATAGGTCTGACCAATGGGAGTTTGTTATGAGGCCCTGTTGACGTAGCATTGTTAGACCAGCAAACGCAGTGCTAATGTTGTCTGAGATGAATTGCTTGCTTTTCTTTTGGGCATTTCTCTTTCCGTTTGTGTGTCCTAGAGATCATTCAGTATTGCCTCGTTGATCGAGCATGACATAATCACGATTTTTTTCTTTGGTCTGGTTATACCCTTCACAGGGGTGTCAACACTTATGCTGCCCCGGGAAGCGGCTGCGGGTATAATCTATAGGGAAGGCATATTAGTAAAAACTTCCCTTATCTTCCCCTGAAGAGGATGTAGGCATGGTGTTGATTTTTTGTTTCTTAGTCAGCTCTGAGGATGACGCAGATCAAGAGTGAGTGAGTGAGTTAATGCTTTACGTCACATCGGTAATATTTCAGCCATATCGTGACGACGCAGATCAAGATGATTTCCTCTCCCTACAGACCATCTTCTTCCTCTGTATGGCAATTAAGTAATCTGAAAATTTCTCTTCTACTAAAAGAGAGCAAAAACTACATTTCAGCTCTTTAGTACAGTGTATTGATTGCAAAAAAAACAGATTGGATGAGGATTTTGATCTGAAACACGAACATTACAGACATTACATATTTTCATTTCAGACCGAAGTTGAGAGACAAATTTGAGCCAAATATAAAAATTAGGAAAATCTAAGTATTTTTTGCACTTGTATACTTATCCTGCATTACTCCTTAATGCATCTAATGCTTATGACAAAGAAAACAGCACCTAATGGTCCTAATTGAAGAAAATTTCAGTCTACTTTTGCAAGGACCCATCGCCGCTGTCATGTGACTTGGTGTGATGCAGGATAAGCATACAAATGTAGAAAATATTTAGATTTTACTATTGTTTTTACTTATCCTGCATATACACTTCAATGCATCTGTATCAAACGGTATGGCGATGTGCATAACTTCAGATGTAATCCTCATGCAACATGTGTGTCAAGGGAACCGTATGGTGTATCAAGTGCCAATCGGTTTTACTTGTTCAATCTTATCCACCAGAGAGACACGAGATAAGTCCAGGTAAACAACAGTAAGAAGAAAATAGCAAAAGATAAAATCTAAAAACTGAGTTACCAAGCCAAGGCTTAAAAGCCTGATAATCCCCCGAAAGTGGAAAAAACACTGCGCAAGTTGGGTAAAACTGGCTCTGGACAGGAAGAGTTCATTATTTGCGTTTGGGGTTGGTCACTTGATTGGCTATAACCAGAGGGTCAGAGCTATGAATGCCTTCGACGTCTTTAAGTGCCACATCTCTTAGATAATGGTCAGCGAAGACAGTGTCGGACCCAAGAATTGGGGTGATGCTGTAGTGGAATCTTGATTTTTCGCCATACAAAAGGTTTCAAACGATTGCCATTTGTTGTCGTATAACCCCCAGGTGGAGGGTTGGTGTGCCAGAACAATGGCCTTAGCTGCCCACGCCAAATAGCCTTTAGTGCTTAGCGCTCTTTTAAGGCGAACCAAGCGTGCAGATGAAATCTGCCTGGTGTTTGGTGAGGTAGTTTGCTGTGAGGGTGGATGAGTAAGTTCGGCCACTTTGGGAGGGATAGTTGTATTGTCTTCTGCAAGGCTTCCGAGTTCTCGCCGGCCACCAGTCCGCGACCAAAGTCAGAGCAAGACTTGGTAGCTTTGATTTTGCTGCAGGCGTTGATGTAAGCGCTTGGGTTGTCCCAGGCGTAGCAGTAGCTGCTGACGACAGAGGCCCGAACACAGGCACAGGTGCAGGCGCCGGACACATCTGTGACATAGACTGCTGCCACATGGAATGCATGAAGTTCTGCATCTAGGTTGAAGCTATGAACAGCGCCGAAGGCTGCGTCGACATGGGATGCACTACTGGGAAGACAGGCGGTATAGCGGCAAGATGACCCAGAGTTGATGACATTGCAGGCGTGGCTGGAAGACCTGAAGATGTAGTTATAGTCGATAAGATCGGTAAGGTGTTGGTAGATACTGCGGTCAGCACAAACTCTCGGGATTAGACGCACGCAGGGGTCAACAGGATTGAGGTATGTGCCAGTGCTTGCCTGGTAGAAGCGGCGTAGGGCGCATGCACTTGCGTTGCTGGAACCATGGGTAATGCCCATTCGACGTCAAGGGTTAAGAGGTAATAACTGGGGTGGCTGTTAGACTCCAACGAATCTGACATCCTCCTTTTCTGCTGACGGGACTGCTGTAGTAAACATTTATGCCTGACCTGTCTATAAGTTGAGAAACTTGACAGGGAAAGAGGTGAACAAAAATTAAATTTTAAATTCGGAGTGCACACCTGAGTGCAATACAAACAACGTGGATGAAGATCTTGAGCGGATTTTTTGCCACAACAATTAAAGAACCACGCAAACAATTTACGCAAAACTTGAAGTTGCAGTGAAAGTAGTACTTGTACATAGCAATAAATAAACCAAAGTTTAAGTCTGGAAAATTTAGAATATTAATGTGTATAAAATACAAACGTGAAACTCTAGACAATGCCACTAATGGCTTAAGGTATTTATACATACAAAATATAATACCCAGCCAAAGAATTGCAAACTATAATGACTGCCTCAAATTAAGGAGACAAACATGCAACAAATTACTAAATGGAGGGAAAACACCAAGCCACATGGAAGAAAAAGACAAAGTGTTTTCAAGTGGAAAACATACATATTATTAAAACAAATGCAAAAATAATAAGATAAGGTATACTTCACCAGTCGCAGACCAACTTTAAAGTGAAAGCAAAGCGCAAACCACAAAACTATAGCCAAAAGTTGAGGAACAAAACAGGGCACAACAAGTCTGTTTGGTGACAAGCAGGAATGTGACCAGATGTGACGTCACAATGGACGGTGACATGACAGCAGTGATGGGTCCTTGCAAAAGTAGTTAAAACAACCTTTTTTCTTCATCTTGGACCATCTTTACGAACTGTCTTTTTTGTCATAAGGTAAGAAGTAGATGCATCAAGGAGTAATGCAGGATAAGTAAAAAATATAATATCTAGATATGATGCTAAAGGGTCTGAAGAATGTAATCCTAGCAAAATTTTTGATGAAAAAGGGTTACTTTTGATAGGGTGGCTCAGACTACAAAGCTCAGGAAATTATCCCCAACCACTCGGCTGGTGCGAAAAAGAGAGTGATGAGTAACTGGCCTTGGCCGTGTGCTTCCGATATATATTTTGTTTACCCTCTTTGTACCATACAAAGATATATCATATGATGGTGGATATGTCTTATGTATTCTTATCAAAGTTAAAGTTTACACTAATATTCTTAGTAATGATAAGCAGTGTATCACTTTCTATCTGAACTAAGAAGATATCCAACAGTTCAGGCCATTTTGATCCAAGCTATCTATCCATAAAAGGCTGCACCTACAGTATCAAGGGATAATCATGATGAACTCCTAGATCACCTGCCATGTAACACCGCTCTTACTGCATCCAATAACTCTGAATCACACTAGTCCACACAGCAACAAAACAAGACTAGTGCCATTTGAAGCTTGGGGCTACCTTGCTCAGGTGTATAAAAGACACTCCAAGATCTCTCACCTGTAGCTGCCGCACTGACTGCATCATTCAGGTCATCATTGGACATTCCACTGACAGCGGCCAATTGTGTCAGCAACTGCTGTTTGTGGCTCTGAAATGTAGGAACAAGCAGCAGCATAATTCACAGACATTGTACCAAAGCACTTCACACTATTGACAACAACTATTGACTTATCCTCTACACACCAAATACACTGAGCTGTCATTTGCTATGAAACTCTCCCAATCCCTCACCATCTATCATGGTAGTGACAATCTTATCACTCATCAGTATGGATCTAGGAAAAAAACCATAGTGATAGGAAATCAGTAGTTCTCTCTCCCCTTAACAATTACTGGTATAAAATTAAGAAATACCTATGATTACTCTCATCAATTGTATTATGGAACTGAATAGCTTCAAATGAGTTTAGGTGGTTTAAATTGTTTTTTTTTGGAGTTGTACATACCGGTAATTGAAGAGTCATGACAATAAATACTGGAGTACATTGTATATGGAAGAAGTGAAAGCAGTGAAAGAAACAGTATTTGAGGCTTATATGAGGCTTAACTTTACAGATAAAGGGTAAATATTGTACAACTTAAATAAATCTCTCAATGTGTTGCAGGCTTTTGTCATGTTGTTTGTAAACTTCCTGTCAGCAATGTCATGTGATTCATCATGTTGTGCCTCTGTTTTTAACTTGACTGTCATGGAGGGGCTCAAAATCATGTGACGGTAACAAGATGGCACCTGATTGACTGGTCTCGCCAGCGGTAGAAAAAGGGTTTTAGTTCACAAGTCCTTATCATATAGCAAACCCCTTGAAAATGGCAAATTTCTACTAGTCCTTATGATACCTTAACTATTGGGCAGTTTGGCAAGGACTGCAGGACTAGTGCCAGTTTCTAATGCTGCTTGCTTGGGGAGGCATTATCATGATTCAATTGACAAGATGTGGTCATCTGACTAACCAATTGTAAACAGAACCAAATGTTCTCAAAGGAATGACTTAATTTTAGTGTTATTAGAAATAACACGTAATGACAACTACTTCTTAGGGGCTCGAAAACACAGTATGAGAGAATATATTTAACTGTGTGATGACATATATAATCGTACAAAGTTTGTGACTCTCCTATTCATATGACTGACGTTATCCTGAGTTGGCTGTCTACTGAGACCCTCACTCATCTCACCTCAAGCTCTTTCTGCAGTTCCAGTTCCAAGGCTGTGTTCAGTTCCTCCTTGGACTTCTCAAGTTCTGTCTTCATCTCAGTTTCAAGCTCAACCATTGCCTTCTGGTGGCGCTGCTCCATCAGAATGTGCATCAGTACACCACTAGCACGTCTGTAACACATGGTCTATGTAATCAGTACACCACTAGCACGTCTGTAACACATGGTCTATGTAATCAGTACACCACTAGCACGTCTGTAACACATAGTCTATGTAATCAGTACACCATGAGCACGTCTGTTACACATGGTCTATGTAATCAGTACACCACTAGCACGTCTGTAACACATGGTCTATGTAATCAGTACACCACTAGCATGTCTGTAACACATGGTCTATGTAATCAGTACACCACTAGCACGTCTGTAACACATGGTCTATGTAATCAGTACACCACTAGCACGTCTGTAACACATGGTGTATGTAATCAGTACACCACTAGCATGTATGTAACACATGGTCTATGTAATCAGTACACCACTAGCACGTCTGTAACACATAGTCTATGTAATCAGTACACCATGAGCACATCTGTTACACATGGTCTATGTAATCAGTACACCACTAGCACGTCTGTAACACATGGTCTATGTAATCAGTACACCACTAGCACGTCTGTAACACATGGTCTATGTAATCAGTACACCACTAGCACGTCTGTAACACATGGTGTATGTAATCAGTACACCACTAGCACGTCTGTAACAACATGGTCTATGTAATCAGTACACCATGAGCACGTCTGTAACACATGGTCTATGTAATCAGTACACAACTAGCCTGTCTGTAACAACTCAAGGCCCATGTAATCAGTGCACAACTAGCACGTCTGTAACAACACATAGCCCATGTAATCAGTACACCACTAGCACGTCGTTAACAATACAAGGCCTATGTAATCAGTATACCACTAGCATGTCTGTAACAACTCAAGGCCCATGTAATCAGTGCACGACAAGCACATCCGTAACAACACAAGACCCATGTTATCAGTACACCATGAGCACGTCTGTAACACATGGCCTAAGTAATCAGTACGCCACTAGCATGTCTGTAACAACACAAGGCCCATGTAATCAGTACACCACTAGCACGTCGTTAACGATAGAAGGCCTATGTAATCAGTATACCACTAGCATGTCTGTAACAACTCAAGGCCCATGTAATCAGTGCACGACTAGCACGTCTGTAACAACACATTGCCCATGTAATCAGTGCACAACTAGCACGTCTGTAACAACACAAGACCCATGTTATCAGTACACCATGAGCACGTCTGTAACACATGGCCTAAGTAATCAGTACGCCACTAGCATGTCTGTAACAACACAAGGCCCATGTAATCAGTACACCAGTAGCACGTCGTTAACAATACAAGGCCTATGTAATCAGTATACCACTAGCATGTCTGTAACAACTCAAGGCCCATGTAATCAGTCCACAACTAGAACGTTGTTAACAATACAAGGCCCATGTAATCAGTACACCACTAGCACATCTGTAACAACACATGGCTCTTGTAATCAGTACACCACTAGCACGTCTGTAACAACTCAAGGCCTATGTAATCAGTGCACAACTAGCACGTCTGTAACACCACATGGCCCATGTAATCAGTACACCACTAGCACGTCGTTAACAATACAAGGCCTATGTAATCAGTATACCAAAAGCATGTCTGTAACAACTCAAGGTCCATGTAATCAGTGCACGACTAGCACGTCTGTAACAACACATGGTTTATGTAATCAGTGCACAACTAGCACGTCTGTAACAAACACAAGACCCATGTTATCAGTACACCATGAGCACGTCTGTAACACATGGCCTAAGTAATCAGTACACCACTAGCATGTCTGTAACAACACAAGGCCCATGTAATCAGTACACCACTAGCACATCTGTAACAACACATGGCTCTTGTAATCAGTACACCACTAGCACGTCTGTAACAACTCAAGGCCCATGTAATCAGTGCACAACTAGCACGTCTGTAACAACACATGGCCCATGTAATCAGTACACCACTAGCACGTCCTTAACAATACAAGGCCTATGTAATCAGAATACCACTAGCACGTCTGTAACAACACATGGTTTATGTAATCAGTACACCACTAGCATGTCTGTAACAATACATGGTTTATGTAATCAGTGCACAACTAGCATGTCTGTTACAACACATGGCCCATGTAATCAGTACACCACTAGCACGTCGTTAACAATACAAGGCCTATGTAATCAGTATACCACTAGCACGTCTGTAACAACACATGGTTTATGTAATCAGTACACCACTAGCATGTCTGTAACAACACATGGTTTATGTAATCAGTGCACAACTAGCATGTCTGTAACAACACATGGTTTATGTAATCAGTACACCACTAGCATGTCTGTAACAACACATGTCCCATGTAATCAGTACACCACTAGCATGTCCGTAACAACACATGTCCCATGTAATCAGTACACCACTAGCATGTCTGTAACAACACATGGTTCATGTAATCAGTACACCACTAGCATGTCTGTAACAACACATGTCCCATGTAATCAGTACACCACTAGCATGTCTGTAACAACACATGTCCCATGTAATCAGTACACCACTAGCATGTCTGTAACAACACATGTCCCATGTAATCAGTACACCACTAGCATGTCTGTAACAACACATGTCCCATGTAATCAGTACACCACTAGCATGTCTGTAACAACACTATACACTGTTGTGCACAGCTCACCCTGCCCCGTGCTGCTGTTGATGATAGTATTCCACTTGCGTCTCCTCCTCTATCTGTGTCTCCAACTGACTGGAAGAAAAAATAGGAGGAACCATTTAACATCTAGAATCTAGAGTGTTTGCAACTAATTCCATAAAAAGGGACCTCGCCTACTACAACCTCACACCAGGTTAAAGTACCTTGCCTCTTGCAAACATACTGAGAAAACTAAATGCATTTCCGCTGTAATGACATCACTTCAAGTCTGCTGACATAAGTTCCCTTTTGGGAAACACATGCCCAATGATGTACCACTTTAAACTAGAATGGCATATTTCTCTACTATAATAAGAAAGTGATACACATTACTGGTTGAATGATATCACTTCTGTTGGGGAAAATATGCCACATTTGCAGTGCGACGATACAACAGAAAGTCCCATGCCTTTAGCCACCTCAACAACAACTATTATGTGGCACACACAAGTTTTAGTATACAGTTTCATTGTAAATATTTTTAATCTACAAAGTAGACAATTTATGGATAACAACTTCTTTATTTACCATAAAGGCAATATTTCGGTATAGATCCTTATACCATTGTCAAGCAAGGATAAGGATCTATACCGAACCATCGCCTTTACAGTAAATAAAGAAGTTTTTATCCATAAATAGTGTCTACTTTGTCATCCGTCAACTTCTGAGTAATGCCTATCAAACAATTCATTTTTTTCATCTAGTTCAGGTTCTTTTATTCTTCAGTATTTGTTTTAAGTTGATAGTATAGTAGATTTTTAGTTCAATATCTATTGTGGGCGGCTGGATTAGTTTACTAAGTAAAGGGTGGTTGGGTTAGTCCATGTTTATGTTATTGTTTCTTAAGTTGTTCTGACACAAGCCTTGTTTTTTTTGTAAATGTATAGATTTTCATAATTGTGTAAATAGTACTAAATATGCAAATCTGGTATGTTAAGTGAGGATTCATTGATATATGCTTCATAGATGATTATATATATACAATTTATCGACTGTTTGAATAGACGAGCTAGCACATAAGGCAGCTGCCTTGAGTCCTTTGACATCCCTGTGTCACCTACAGGGTACAGTTAATTTACATGTTCTCTCTCTCCACTCTCATTGTGTGAATGAGTATGAAACCTGTGTACCAATATTATTGTTTTGTACATTATCACCATCTCTTCTACCAGCAATAAAGAACCATACCTGTAGCCAGTGTTTCCCATCACAACCCTGGTAAGTTATATGCACTTCCATTTGGGAAAAATGTATGTTTAATTTAAGTTATGAGAACATGCGGTGGTTTAGGTAAAAACATGTCTAATCTTAAAACAAAAAGAGCTATGCCTCTGCTACCTTAATAACAAAGTTATATTAACATTAACATTGGACTTAATGATATCTCTAAAATTTTGTTTCTTTGTTTGTTGTTTAATGCCACACTCAGCAATATTCCTGCTATAGGACGGCGGCCTGTAAATAATTGAGTCTGGACCAGACAGTCCAGTGATTGACATCATGTGCATCGATCTTTATAATTGGGACATGATGACATGCATTAACCAACTCAGCGAGCCTGACCACCCAATCCCGTTTTTTGACTCTAACAACAAGCATAGTCGCCTTTTACTGCAAGCATGGGTTACTGAAGACCTATTCTACCCCAGTCTTCACAGGTCACATCTCTAAAAGGAAAGACATCTCTAAAATAGAAAGTCAGATGCCTCTAACAACCTTAATAAGAAAGTTATCTGCATTTCTGCTTGGAGAAAATAAATGCAATATGAATTGTGACTTAAAACGGAAAGTACCATTTCCCTAGATACATCCGTGAGTGTGTTGGGTTTGACGCCAGTTTGAACAGTACTCCAGTTATATCGCGGCGTGTTAGCTAGGTGTGGGAGGACAGCCTGAAGTGATACAGGGTACAGACATTCACCATTTTGGTGAAATCCATGAGCACAGGTATGGTGCTGACAACATAATCGGGATAACCGGGATGCGAACCCATGATCATAGGTTTCTGTCCAAGGGATGAAACTCTGCACAGCGAATTGTGGCGCCCTTCTAGATACCTTAATAAAAACAATCATGAACACTTTCTGTTTAGGAAAACATGCATGCCCAATGCAGTACAACTTTGGAACAGAATGTTTAATTCCTGAAGCTACCTTAATAACAAAGTTGAGAGCACATTCGGTTTAGTGACATCACTTCTTGTTTTAGAAAAACATATGCCTGTTGGGTACAACTTTGAAACAATGACCCGTGCTAACAGCTACCATAATAACAACTCTTGTCAATTTTTTACTCTTGTCAGCTACTGAAATTTGCAATTTACAGTCCATTCCAGTATTTGCAACATTCAAGGTGGTACAGTGCAAGTATTTCACAAGGGGTCTTAAATAAAAGGAATACATGCACCTATGCTTTCAATTTCAGGGAGTATTTGTTCCATAACACGAATGGATGTTGAAATAATGAAATTATAACTGGAATAAAAACTAACTAACACAACATGCTGTATATAGTGGTATATCAACATTATTGATGTTTTCACTCAACAAATAATGGTTTTGTAATGATTTCACACCTATTCCAGGTTCCACGTTGTTTTAACGGTGTTGTATTACAACATCAGAAGGGAAACAACTTTCCTTCTACAAACGTGCGTGGTGTAAGCATAAACAAGAGTATTTAAGCATATTTTTTTCAGCTAACAGTGTCAGATAAATTATTGTTTGACAAGTTATCTTAATATCCAGTTATTCCTGAATTCAGATGATGAAATGATCATCCACATGTAGCCAGGAAAAGGATACATATATAGGCTGTGCAAATACTGCCACGAGCGCATCAAATGAAATAATCCATGCAGATATAGTTTTTCGTTTCTGCAAATTTACTCATATCGGGATGTGTCATTTATAATCTTATAAGGACTTCCTGCATGATACCCCAGCAGGATTTACGTCATCACTTTAGCTGGTGGCTGTGCACAATACTTGACAATATTAAAAAAAATGCTCAGCAGTCAGTTGTTTTAAAACACTGGTTGATGATAGTTCCATTGATTATGATAGGGATTACGTGTCATACAGGGGGACAATAATCATTTTATGATACTTTAACATCTGAGTCCGAGCCTTCAATAATCACTGTTCATAAAAATATAGCATCACACCAAATTTTAAAAACAAGCAATTAGTTATTCATGTAAATATTTAAAACATATGATACAGTGATTGCTCGCTATTGCGCTCTTCGATAAAGCGCTACTTCGGTTACTACGCGCGATAACGCATGGCTCCCAAAATTTATGTACACTTTTAATACTGAGAGTTTTACACAGACATGATTGTATTGTTGTTCATTTGCACATAACGCTTCTCACTGCATAATCAACCGTTTATTGCTGAATGGAGTTCTAATATTGTTTGAAAACATCCGCGGCAAGTCACGGAAATACGATTGTTCTACTAGTTAACTTTTCACACTGTACATCCTTTGATCTTAGAAGCGCATGCATGCAATAAAAGAGAACCACAAGCGAAGTTCATATTCTTAATTAGTGGGCAATCCAATTTGAGGCAACACTGTCAACTCACATGTAGTTGCTGTCACAACACGACGGTCATTCCTTTTGATTTGGATCAAGTAACCGTATCAAACCAATTAATCTGGCTTGACATACGTTACTGTATGTAAAGTGAATTTATCAGATCAAGGGCATTCCAATTTCAACATGAGGAAAGCGTACACAGTGCAAGAAAAGCTAGACGTCGTGAAGAAAGTTAGAGATGGCGCTTCACAGGCCAGTGTGAGCCGCCAGTCCGGCGTTCCAGCGGGGACCATCAGGTGTTAGATTAAGATGAGGAAAAACTTCAGTCAGCCGCCCCCGAATGCCACAACAGGAGAGGATCCGTGGAGTCGACGACACTACTCTGGACAAGGCCTTGTTCAAGTGGTTCACGCATTCCCTTTCGGGTGAAATACTTAAGGTCCAGGCTCAGAAGATGTCGAGGAAGATAAACGGGGACAACGACACCTTCAAGGCAAGTGATGGCTGGTTGTGGAGGTTCTAGCAACGTCACGGGATCAAGTCCATCACCGTCAGCAGTGAGTCTAAATCTGCCGATGTTGAATCTGCTGCAGCATATCCAACGATACTCCGAGACATCATTGACGCGGAAGGCCTGCATGATGAGCAGATATACAACACTGATGAGACCGGCCTGTACTATCGGATGCTCCCTTACAAGACTCTTGCCGAGAAAAATGACCCCAGGCAGAAGACAGGTTTCAAGAAAGCCAGGCAACGTGTTACAGTGCTCCTTGCTTGAAACAAGACCGGAAATCAAACAGATACAAACAAAAATGGATGATATTTTATTGACATTCACAGTAATATTTACTGATAGAAGGTAATGCAAGCTTTTCATGATTTGTATGTTATTTTGTTTTGGTTTACTGGCAATACTTTACTAATATATGTTCTGCACATATTACTGGTCTGCAGTTCTTATGTACATGGGTCTATCAAACAAGAAAGAAGTGAGCAAAGCTTACATACCCCCCGTTATCCCCGCTGGTCAACAACAAATAGTAAATAGTTTGTAAATTAATGAAATATACCTGTTGCTTTAAGTCAGAGGAACTGCACTTTCCTTTGTAACCCCATGAGGATGCATCATGTTTGAAATGAACACATGTTTTTGCAAATATATTTCAATCTAGTGTGGGATAATCAATGCTTAGCACAACATACATTCTTGATGTTTCTTAATGTGTCCATGGAAACGGCAAAAATTAAAAAATTCAGAATCTTCAAACTAGCAAAAGGCACAAGTACTCATTGTGGTTAATGTGTGTAGAAAGTTTGGTGAAGCTAGGGTGCATAGTTAAAAAGATATAGGCCATACAAAACACCCACCCTAAAAGTTTAAGTTTCTTAATGTTTCCATGGAAACGGCAAAAGTTAAAAAGTTCAGAATCTTCAAACTAGCAAAAGGCACAAGTACTCATTGTGGTAAATGTGTGTAGCAAGTTTGGTGAAGCTAGGGTGCATGGTTAAAAAGTTATGGGCCGTACAAAAGCTCGGACGGAAGGACGGACGGACGGAACGCTATTTACCCCCGATTTACTTCGTAAACGGGGGTATAATAACTGCCACGACACAATGAGGTATTCATGAACAGTGTCCCTATTCATTCACGCTACAACTGTGTTCCCCTGTGCAAATTTATTACGAAGAAATACAATAACAACGTTTTAGTTTTGATGAGTTATTTCATTGAAGACAAATTTAGGAGAGCAAGTAACTACTCATGGAATTACTTATTTCAATATAGACACTAGTGGTATTAACGAAACACTGCTGTCGTCTACCTTTCAGTCTACAGCCGACATTGATTTATGTGACTGGAATTGTGAAAAATTAAATAACACTGTAGAGTCTGATGCATGAAAAGGCAAGGTGCCCCTTAGTCAGCAGTGTGCACTGTGAAAGGGAAAGCACTCTCATCAAAGCCGTGAGATTAACTGCCCTTGACATGTACATGAGGTCACGGTTGCATATGTCAAAAGTTTATCGACATGCTCAAACTAACATGTTCCTAATAAAAAAGTAATTAAGTTACTTAGCAACCTAATGTTTAAAGTTGTTCTCTTTTATTAACTACCATATTTTCTTGAGTATAGTGCGCACCTTTTCCCCCAAAAACACAGCTGTGTAGAAGGGGGTGCGCATTATACACACCATAATGTGTTTCGATGTTTTTCCCCCCAAAGCAAAGACATTACCGTGAGCACGTAACACCTGAATACCATGTCAACAAATCCATACTGGAGTACACAATGTATTCTTGTAACTACACTGTCTAGTTATAAAATGGTTTCATTGTATATCTGGACTTATGTTTGTAACTTATTTCATAATTTTTATTCAAAATTCCTTTTCATATTGTTTTAATTAATTGCGGCGAAATCAAGTGTGAAGCAATCGGAAGATTGCACAACTCACCGTTATAAATAGCAATCAGCAGTCAGATTACCACTACTGGCGCCTTGAAAAGAACATTAGTTGACAAAGAATGGATACATATATCAAAAATGCCATACTTTGTCTCGTTAAAAGTCATATTTGTTGTAATTAGACGATTCTATGTCAAATGGTAGTTCTCGCGGGGGTCTCGACGGTGACTGGTCAAATTGTTCCATGTGAAAAAAAATAATTAGTTGGGGAGAACGAGGTAGCTGGGACAATGTGACTCACTCCTTGTTGAAATAATGATTGTGTTTGTGAAACAGGACACATTTCCAGAGCTGACGATCCTTGTTCTTTGTCAGATACATTTATTGTCTGACTGCACATATGCTGTGCTCCCTCTACATTAATTAAAGTAGTCTGGACATCAGGATGTACATGTAGGACTTTGTTCTGCCATATGTACTGATACCAGGGCAATTCTGTGAGACTAATTAGGATCTGACACCGAAGAATATTGAATAGAGACACACATCTTGTTTTGTGTTTCTTTTAACAGTATATAAACCACATACAATAGCGTTTGTTGCACTATCAATATGTCCAATCTCATTAACCACACAACTATCATCATGATGTTGAGGCCCATGAGACTTGTTTGGTAAATGATGACAGGGTGAACAAGTGAAGGCTTAGCCTTGATCAAGCCGTACTGTCCATATATGGCCAACAAAGATGCATGGTCCAAAATTGTGTAACTGTACTAAAATAGACATGTTGTTATTTTTAGATAGGGCTGTCACAGTTTTGGCCAGACTTGCTGGCTCAGCTCTTTTATCGCCCATTATACATATTAGGATGGATGTGATGCCCGTTGTTTTTCTTTTAATCTGTTTTCTTTTCTGCATGTCTTAATTTACATATTCAAAGCAGACAACCATTCTGGCAGAAGTTTCTCTTTCAAGACATATGAGAGAAAAAACAAAGAAATGAATTTTTGTTTGGCAATACATATTCTGTAGCTTCTTGTTCGGTAAAAACGACACCACACTATTTCTAGTTAAAAATCATACAAATATCTCACATAAACACAGAGGGTTGCTTCAGTACACAAAGGATTATTTTAAATTTGGCAAAGCCAAATGTACTGTTTCCTGATTGTTTGGTAACAAAATGGGTGGGGCTTGTGTTGTATTATTGCGCTGAATGATCTCATTGATTTCTTATTGTTATTTACAGTTTTATTGTGTTAAATAAGCAGAGTGTGAAGTTATTATTGGTGACATATCAACTGATAAGATTTGACTTCAACATGTATTTGCATTTATGGGGGTATAAACGTAAAATCTATTGTGCACATTTTGCGTAAATCCACAAATTGATGTCAATGCTTAAACATATTCCTCAGATTGAGAGTTTTTACAAAATAGGAATAATCACAATTTACAACAACACTGACAAGCATGCTGACTGACTTTTCCTTCATATGGCGTTTGGTCTGTAGTTTCTCCAAGATAATCCTCTCCTGCTTCTGTCTGTTACGTTGGATGTGGTCATTGAGGTTCTCCACCTGGTTGTGGTGCTGCTGTATGAGCTGATCTGTGTAGCTCCGAGGAAGGTCCCCACCCTGCATCATCCGCCGCTCCAACTGGTCCTGTAGGGGCCACAGGAATAACATCACACACCTTCCAACACCACATATGCTTATTTTAACAGTTACAGTATTTATTGACATGGTGACTGATTCACTGGGAACTTGTTCTCGGTATAAGTGAATACATACAGCTACTCAGTGAAATGACCCCTGGATAAAACAGACAATGAACACCTTCCCTGATCCATCGCAACATTCATAACATGGATCACTGCCATGATAGATGGATACTTTGCTTAGCCCTGGACTGTTGGTTTACCTGCAGCTCCTTCATTGTCTTGTCCTGCTTCCTCAATATAGCTTGCCTCCGCGCCTGTCCCACCTGTACAAGGAGGGTATACATATCAAACTTAACCGCACATGTACACAAACATCCAAATTTAAAATATCCATCAAGATTGACGTCACATTTTTCACTTCTTTTACAATTGTACTACGACATCATGGGCATGACTCATATTTATATACTCTCAACTATTGAGGTGTAAGTGCTCAAATGAAACATCTGATTTTTTAATCTGATAAGGTCCCTATGTAAGTGAAGACCTGTGTGAAGGCCTCCATAGATGGTTGCATTAAGTGAATACCTAAATGAAAGATAATGGACTCTAGAGCCAAACAGCTTTCTAAAACAATTCGGCTTGATTTCTTTAGTACTTCGATTCTGAAATTTGGATTTTAACAAAAGAAAACCAACACAAACACAAATCAGAAACAACCCAAGAAGTTATTGTAGATCAAACTTTATGCCATGTATTATTGAATGTTAAAAACCGAGGATGGATTTGGTACCCAATTGATCATCAACTTCTTGGTACATTCATCAGTAGTAACAGAATTATTTGGCATTCAAAGAAAAAATATTGCAGCATTGGGAATCCACAGAAAGAGCATGTCTTCTGACAGAAACTGCGGAAATTGGTGACATCACTTTCAGTCCTTCTCATCCTTGTTGAAATATGACAGCTGACCTGCTGAGTGAGATGGTTACAGCCTGCTTGTAACAAACATGTGCAGGTGATGGCAGTTGGTAATTTGGAAATAGTCTAAGAGATAAGGAGACTTAACAGGAGACTAGTTTAAATAATTTTAACACCACACAAACTGCATGACTATGCCATGCTTGCAACAATAAGGTGACAAAGTTCATGCACTGCTGACACTGATAGTTTTGATTGCTGATTGTAAGTGACACTAATGAGGGATCAATTGGACAATTACAGTGCATGTTTGTTTGATTTACAGCTGATGACAAGTGATACTATAGGAGTTTGACCATTCTTCATTTGAAAAGAAGACATTGATTTTTAGATCTGTTTGGGGTAAAGATTCAGTTTGCTATAGCCTGTTATTCATGATACTGAATGTGTTAGCCAGATGGTACTCTCATGGATCTTATTCATGATACATAGTAAAACTGTCCCGACTATTTCAATAATTCATTACATTAAGAATTATTAAATGTAAACTTCAGATTAAACAAAACTTTGGCTTTTGTACTCATCAAAAGTGACATTCAGAAGTGCATATCCAAATGCTGCCTTTATAAAATCTTTTTTAATCCTCCTCCTATGGTTGTTTGTTGTCCTATTTATGATGTGTTGTTATGACAGAGTTACCTCCCCTCCCCTGGGGTGGTTCCAATTGATGTTGGATTCCCATGTGCCTAAGTCCTACGTTCCCTGCTGGTTACCTGGAGCCGGCCAATCAGTAAGCTGATCTCCTGGTCCTGTTGCAGCAGGGCCTCCTCCATCTCCCGGGCCAGCTGCTGCTGCAGGGCCAGCAATGCTGCCTGTCTGCCAGCCTCCAGCCTCCCCTCCTCCGCACTCATTTCAGCAGCCTACAACAATGTCAACTTGTTAATCCTCAAACTGTTACGACATATTTGATATAGTTTTAAGAATATTAGTTCATATAGTTAGTGCATCATTACAAACTTTGTGTGTGTGTAGGTGTGTGCAAAACACAACTCTCCAGAATTTCTCTTAAAATATCTCCAAATCCCAGTCTTGTATCAGACCCACCACCTTCCAACAGAAAAAACCCACCAGCTGTTGTTCCAGTTTATCTTTTTCTTTCTGTTTTGCATTTTGCTTAGCTCTTCTCATTTCTGCATGTCTGGCTTGCATATCTTCTAGTTTGGCCCGGCGTTGATTCAGTTTGACTTCAAGGCTGGAATGAGTACCGGAAGTGTAATATCTTTCATTTTAAATGCTGACTGATGAAAAAGTCCCACCCCCATTTATTATGCGAGTCTGTTATACATGTTTTATGAAACAAGTGTCCATATTATGTGTCTCCAAAACGGAATATTAAAGGGAAATACAATGTTAATAAATTCTGACACATTATCTTATGAAGTTAAGAAGCAATGTAACTTGGGCAGAATTGAAGACTGTGCTGAGAAGCTAACAGGGTCAACAATATGCTGTGATGACATTACCATTGTGGTGTCATTGTTATTGTGAAAAGCATTGCCATTATGTCAACACTGATGCATAAAGTCTTCTTCAGATATGAGCTGTGTCTTATTGCAAACCAGATGGTCAATCAAAAGAGATTATTTCACGACTCTGATTTTACAAAATGAGTGTCAGAATTCTTATATTTCCCAAGTGAGAACGAGGGTATTACATTCTTACTTGAGTTTCGTAAAATGAGTATGACACACATGTGAGTATTAGTTTCTATATAACCCATTATTTCCTAATCCTTTTGAGTTCCCCTTCATAAAAAGACCCTGATCATTACCGCCATCTTAGAAAACCACAATTGTCAAATGACGTCAACAATCTTCAGCTATGATGTTTATAGTGTGACGTCCTACCGACCTTATGTCACACTAAGATTTGAATGATGTAAACAATGCCATCCTGATGATGTTAACAATACATTGGTGCTTGTGAAGTGATATTTGCATAAGTGCACAAACAATGTTTTAAGAACTTGGTTATATCTAATCCTATATGGGAACTAAATAGCTAACCATCTTGTAGATGGTGTACACTCACCTTTTTTGCTGCCTCATCTTACTGCGCTGCAGCTGATTTGAGAGGGACTGCATGTTCTGGTTGTGTTCCTTCAGAATCCGTTCTCGGGCCCTGTTCATCATTTGCAAAGCTATGTCAGAGCATGTTCATATGTATCTCATCAATAACAAACCAAATGAATTCAACTTGTAGATGTGACATTTAGGCAATGACTCACTCTTGTGAGAGCTCAATGTTGGAGGATAGGACTTTGTTGAGGGTGTCCGTCTGCTGCTGCCTCAATGTGTCCATCTCAATCTCTTCCTCCTGCTCCTGGTCTGACACCACCTGCAACACACCAGTGTCGTATAACCTAGACACACAACCTGCAACACACCAGTGTCGTATAACCTAGACAAACAACCTGCAACACACCAGTGTCATATAACCTAGACAAACAACCTGCAACACACCAGTGTCGTATAACCTAGACAAACAACCTGCAACACACCAGTGTCATATAACCTAGACACACAACCTGCAACACACCAGTGTCGTATAACCTAGACACACAACCTGCAACACACCAGTGTCATATAACCTAGACACACAACCTGCAACACACCAGTGTCATATAACCTAGACACACAACCTGCAACACACCAGTGTCATATAACCTAGACACACAACCTGCAACACATCAGTGTCATATCACCTAGACACACAACCTGCAACACACCAGTGTTATATCACCTAGACACACGACCTGCAACACACCAGTGTCATATCACCTAGACACACAACCTGCAACACACCAGTGTTATATAACCTAGACACACAACCTGCAATGCACCAGTGTTATATAACCTAGACACACAACCTGCAACACACCAGTGTCATATAACCTAGACACACAACCTGCAACACACCAGTGTCATATAACCTAGACACACAACCTGCAACACACCAGTGTCATATAACCTAGACACACAACCTGCAACACATTAGTGTCATATCACCTAGACACACAACCTGCAACACACCAGTGTTATATCACCTAGACACACGACCTGCAACACACCAGTGTCATATCACCTAGACACACAACCTGCAACACACCAGTGTTATATAACCTAGACACACAACCTGCAATGCACCAGTGTTATATAACCTAGACACACAACCTGCAACACACCAGTGTCATATAACCTAGACACATAACCTGCAACACACCAGTGTCATATAACCTAGACACACAACCTGCAACACACCAGTGTCATATAACATAGACACACAACCTGCAACACACCAGTGTAATATTACCTAGACACACAACCTGCAACACACCAGTGTCATATCACCTAGACTAATAACCTGCAACACACCAGTGTTATATAACATAGACACACAACTTGCAACACACCAGTGTTATATAACATAGACACACAACCTGCAACACACCAGTGTCATATAACCTAGACACACAACCTGCAACACACCAGTGTCATATCACCTAGACACACAATGAGCAACACACCAGTGTTATATCACCTAGACACACAATGAGCAACACACCAGTGTTATATAACCCAGACACACCACCTGCAACACACCAGTGTCATTTAACACAGTGTTGTACTGAACTAACCTGCAGTCTATATGCCAAGCGCTCCTGGAGGCGGGCCAGCATTGCCTGCCGCTCCTTCTGTTTACGACCTGAAACAGTCAACAGTTAGCTGATCAATCAACATCACATGGCTTAGTATAAACAGTCAGATATAAATAACTGACACCTCAAAATGGTAAAAATCATAATGACTGTCTGTTTGCAGTGAATGATTGTATGATGCACTGACCGTTGTAGTTGTCCATCTGCTGACGGTGTTGCCTGAGAAGGCGGTTGACGTCGGTGCTGCCCAAGTTCCCCTGCCGACCCACCTCTGCCATCTGTGTGCCTAACTTCTCCTCCACGTCAGACAGCTCTTGCTCTCTCAGTCCCTGCAACACAAACACTATACTTTACCATGTATTTCTCGTACATTATTTGTTTAATTCCTAAACAAAACAAAAAAAGGGCCAAAGCTATTGGTATCAATACAATAAAATAATAAATCAAATGAAAATCATAAAAGGTCACTACATGTAATATGCAATAACAGGAAATATTATGGGCAGAAAAAAACCCATAAAAATGAATGTTCCCAATAAATGATGCCATTGGTGCATGAATAGTTAATTATAAACTCAAAATACCAAAAATCTGGTAGTATCTGGTTATCAACTCTTAACTTTCATGAAGCTCATCAAATCATAAGCTAGATTTATTGATCAAGTCCATTTGGGGAAGAAAGAGAGTTTTCTGAGTTACAACATGTCCTCAGATGTGTATCTGTGGCCTTACCTATATATATACACACAACACATAACTAGATGGCATGTTGAAGAGTCTCATACAATTTTTAGGTTAACTCTTAATTCTGTAACTTTCAGTGTCTCCTAACTTCCCAACTACAGAGAGAACCTTTCTGGTCAGCAGTGAGTCCCGGGATCCCCGCACCACTCTGGGACAACTAAGAGAATACTATCCATAACTTTAGCTTCTCAACACTAAAATAATGTTAAAACTCATATGAAATGAGTCATAACCCTCATCATCACAAGTAACTCATTTTCCATTCCCCTAATTTCTTGATTCAGTCACAGGCCCTCCTATCTTTTTGATTGAAAAGAAACATTATCGGAATTAATGTAAGAAAAATCGTGTGTATAGCTACCAAATGCGAAGGAATAGTTTCCAATGCAGTACCTATCGTCAAAACAGCGGTTCTCATTGGAATCACCACACAGCCAAACATGGCTAACAGTAGCTGAGAAGAGAAAATTGGAAGTGTCAACGGTTGTTTCCAAAGAATGTAATTCTTAGTAAGTAGATAATGCACATGGAATGTAAATTATAATTCCTGTTTGATACAGATTATTCATTTTCATAAAAAAAATGTTTTGTATGCATTAGCAATGTATTTTGATGGGAGTCGAATGGAAAGTTTATCCGTCATAGAGCTAGATAAATTGCTTCACCCATAATTTCATTCACTGTTAACGTCTTAGAGCAAGATGTAGTATTTGCCCAATAATTGTTGATATAACAGTGCTAATAAAAAATTCTGTCAGTCAACATCAACAACAAGGGATTCGTCTGTGGCTGACTGGCACTTAAACAATAATCTTAATTTATATGTATTTTATTGACATATACCATTAACAGGTCCCGATGTGTGTATTTTGGCTACCACACAATAAGCAAGATTGCTGATACCAGAATTCAAGCCTCCCACTTTTGATAACAAATTCTGGTGCATATGAATACTAGTTGCTCAATACCATGGATGTTATGTTTTATTGTCAAAACTTTGAGTCAGACTAACCAAAAGAAATTACTTTGTTTGTCGGTGATTTGTTTATCGCCGCCATTTCTTGCACACTGTTTTTCCTGAAAAGGCATTGTCAATACAATACCACTGGCTTTTGACGGATGCAGCTGAAGTAATTCTGCTACATTTGACCGAGTTTCCCACAGCGGTTGTACACATATTCCGCTAATGGCCGCTGTCAAATCCAACAGTTTTTCTTTTTGTTCCCATAATAAATGCATTCGGTTCCAATACGAAAGCTATGCTACCAATACGCCTTCAATCTAAACCCATTCAATGCTTCTTATTCCAATAGATAGGAGGGCCTGAGTCAGCATTGCCAGATTCTTTTTTTCTGACACACTCCCAACATCATCGGCTAATCATAACATCTCCAAGGAAATGCCAGGTGTCACTTGCTGTATTGTCACAAGTCTTGCCACAATGCCACAGTGCTCCTTCACCTCACCTTGGTCACCTTGTCCATCTCCTGAATGTCTGACTGGTCCAGCTCAACACAAACTTCTTCCCTCTCCGTGTGCTGGTGACACATCAGTTTATGGTAACCCTGTATGTACAGACACACTTGCATCAGTATAAACATTAGCTGTCTCTGCTGTTGTGTGCACATCGTATCTCAGTTTACAGGTTGGCTCCTCGGACTTCAATTTATACCTAAAAGACTATCAGAATTCATGCACAATGTCGTCTAAATAACTGGTCATAGAAACTTAAATATTGATCTTGATCTTAACAACACTGAGTATGCTACTTACATATATATAACCAACAGACAAAATTAAGTCAAGAAGACACACAGTTTTCTATATAACTAGAAACACTGCATAGCTAGTTGATTTTGTTAATTAATTGCTTTATGTTAGTTTCTCTCCTAGGTGAATGTCAGTGACTGAACCAATGACCAGTACAATCTTGATTCAGAACCTAACTGATGGAATGGTGGTTAGTCTTTGATAGGCATTAGAAGCTGGACAAACATGAAAACAGAAGCTGCTATATAGAAATGTTTCATGTCTACAAGGTACATGCAGTGGAAACCTACTTAAATCCATGATCTAATAAACATATATCTGATGAAAAATACAAATTATTGACATGGATTGAATTTGTACTCATTACACAATGAAACTGAATAACAATTGTCAAGAAGAAGTCACATCTGATTATTTGGTTATAAAGTTTACTGCATACTGCATACTGAAATATGCAATGGTTGAATGAGGTTCTTACATTCATTTGTTACATATCTCAATCTTAGCCATAATCTTATGTTGCTATCACTTTACCAAGTTTGTTAAATACAGAAATAAGACACAAAAAGAATGAGTTGTTTTTGACACCGCTTTGAACAGTTATTCCAGTCATATCACAGTGTGTCAGCTTGATGAGGGAGGAAAGCCTGAAGTGATGCATGTCTCAGGCGTTTATCAATTTGGTGAAACTGACAAGCACCGGTTAGGTGCTGAAAAACCTAGAAACATAATCAGGGCGAACCAGGTTTTTGGCATGCCCAAGGGACACAGCAAACTGCAGGGCCTTAGATGACGGGAACCTGTGCCTCCGGACACAGGAAACGGTCTCTAATGTTGATTTTAATACTCAACACACAAAGAATTGTTTCATTTTATGGTCTGGGCAAAAATACTAACATGCCACCTAGTTTGCAGTGCAGAATATGAAGGGGATAAATGACTAGTTTGAGCATTAGTAAAATCTAAGTATTTTTTTTATTTGTATACTTATCCTGCATTACACCTTAATGCACCTATTGCTAACCTAATGACAGAAATAGACCTGTGTGAAGAAAAAGGTTGTTTCATACAATTGTGAAGTCTGAAGCCTGACCTAACACAGCTACCACATGTCCAACGGAAATGGTGATGTCACATATCTTCATATTACTGCTTGTCACACATAGTTTTGTCTGAAGATATAGTGGGGAGGCAGGTCTGCAATGTGTAGTCCCTTAGACGTAGTAATGCAGTTATACAAAAGTAACAAACATTACTCCTTAATGCATCTGTATCAGATGGTACGGCGGTGGGCATAACTTCAGATGTAATCCTCAATATAGATAAACCCTCATAAGACAAAAAATGTCAAAGGAACCGTATGGCATGTCATCTGCGCCAATCGGCATTACTTGCTCAAATCCTGTCCGGAATTGTCATTGTTGAAGATGTAGAGACTGTCTGAGTGCTAACGACACAAGTCGTTGTATCTTCTTCTACCTGTCCGGAAGAACAAACAGCTTCCCGAGATCGGTGTCGAAAAGAGCTCTGAAGAACTGCAGTTGCTGAGAGGGTGTGTTTTTCTACTTTTCTGTGTTGACTAGCCAACCGAGATGATGAAGTAATCTCTGCGCGAAGGCGAGATGTTTGACTAAGACATTCTGGCCAGGATGCAATCGTCGATGAATGACTCAAAGACAATCCCGCTGACGTGAAGAAACTTTATGATGGGCTTTGTAAGGGGGGTAAAAAGCTACTGGGCCAAAGAAATTCCTGATGGGAGCACCTTTCATTGGTAGTGACGACCTTGGAAAATAAATCGGGGGTAATGGCGGTGCTCTCGATGGAAGGGTATGTGAAGGTAAGCGTCTTGTAGATACAGCCTGACTATGTAGTCCCCTTGTCGAATGATGGTGCAAAGGAGCACGACAGACATCATGCAAAATGAGCCGTTATCTCTAGGTACCACACATTGAAAAGCTTCATGTTGAAAATCATACGAAATTTCTTGCCAACATTTTTTGCAACCAAAAATATTGGCAAGTAGAACCCTGGGGTTCTGGAACTGGGGCCTAAACACTCTGGGGCATGTTTGGATATCAACGTACCTATTGTGACCTGTTGTGTTGTCAACTGCTTGGCCGGATACACCGTCTGGAGTGGAGTGGACATTGTTGGAGAGACTCCTCTGAGTGGCAGTCGGTCTCGAAGGATCTGGGACATGAAGTGGACGTCCAGGATGGTCCAGTTGGCTACGAATCAACCTAGTGTTCCGCCTACTGGAGTGAAAGTAATGGGTACAACTGGAGGCGGAAGTCCCAGAGACAGGCGGAGCCACTTGGAGGAGACATTGCCCCTCTTGGGGGACTCTCCAGAGTCCTTGGTGGAGGAGAAGGTGACAGATCTCAGAGAAGAGCCGTTTTAGGCTCGTCCTCTGCCACAAAAAGAGCCTGTCTTCCCACTAATGACGTTGCAGAGATCTTGTTGGGATGGTTTGAATTGGGGACATAAAACAGTCCTGTCTCTACTGGTCCTGCAGTTGTTGCCTCTGATGTCTTAAGAATAAGACATCAGACTGATTAAGGATAAAATTTATGGATGAACAACTTCTTTAATACAATTAAGAGCGATGTTTCGGTGTAGTTCTAACACTGCAAATGCCTATCAAAGAAGGTCTACTGACACTTGGAGATGGGTATCCTCAGTGACTACCTGTACAAACATCTTGGATTCTGCTATCAGATAAGTAGGGAGATGACCAAGGCACCTGGAAGAGTCCGACTTTACTATGTTCTTCCCAAAGGCAGTAGTTGACTAGAACTCTACGCCTTAGCGCAGTAAGTGATCCCAAATGATGTGTGATAAGATCCATGACGTCCTGAAATTTGCTTTGGATTAAATTCATGGTCTCTCTGTAGTCCTCCTCTAATGTCTTAGCCTGGGCCACGGAAATACTTCTTGCATGTCGCCGATAATATGGTGGACAATAAAGGTAGGGTCCTTCTGATGGTGACCAGTTCCTTGTCATCAATAACTGATGTAGAAGAGGATCACTTCGGGGCAATGGTGGCAATGTTACCATCCAGCTCCAAGGTGTGTCATGATGGCTGCTGGTGGTAACATGATGGGAGAAGCTGTGTTAGTTGACATCGCAAACCCTGCAAGGAGGTAATCCTCAGATGTACTATGAGGCAGGTTGAGTGAGTCTGCGGTCCAGGGAAGAATCAGAGAAGGGTCAACCTGGGCCTAACTGCGAGATGATGGAGGTGAAGCCTGGCTTTCAGGGTTAGCATCGGGAGAAGTTGCACAAGACCAAGGAGCGTCCATTCCAATTTGGAATGAACGTTGGATTGCTTTGGAAAGATCGCTCATTCCAACCTTTCCAAAGCTTGGAAGGATGGATCTTTACAGAAAATCCAAAATTGGATTGGCCATATTTCCAAACATATTTCCAACACAGGAAATGTTTGGAATGACTTGGAATGGTTTGGAATGTTTTGGAATGGTTTGGAATGTTTTGGAATGGTTTGGAATGTTTTGGAATTGTTTGGAAGTATGTTTAGAAGGAACAAGTTAAAATATGTTTTATTAGTAATTTGAACAATAAAAAGACTATGAATTATCTATTGAGTTTAAACTATATATAATAAATAATAAACTTATCTCAAACATTCATTACGTGTCTGTGTAGCGAGGGGCTTTTACAGTCGCATTCTCCCTAAGGTGAGAGAGAGACCTGCACTTGACTCGACAAGACAATAATAGGTCTCAAGATTAAGTATTCGGCTGGATGGCAGCTGCCATTTAATTATAAAACAGACAGTCGTCTAGACGGCTCACATGTAAGTGCGCCGACATGTGCCTAAGATCATAAAATGGACAATCTTTGGTAACATCTAATTTATTGTTGTCTCACGCCAGAGCTTTGAATAATTCTGTTCATTGAACAATTGGAATTCAGGAAGTTATCAATAATTGTTTTACTTAACATAAGATAAGATAAGTTGTTTACAACATAATATTATCATGTCAGCTAGGACGTACTGCAGTCAAAACCATATATTTTAAAATCAATTTAATGACAGACTATGATTTCCAAGTCCCGATTATCAAATCAATGAGGTATCAGTTTCACCACATGTGCACAGACCGCCTATACTTATATATATATATATTTTTCATAACTATTCTCCAGTTAAAGTCCTATCTTCTTATCAAATAATCTGTGAGAGTGATCATCATTAACGAAACTCATTCTCATCAAAGAATACAGAACAAATGAAGAATCAGATGCATACATTTATTGCCATGCTTCATTCATCACGAAGCAGATTTACATACATTTGTGAATAGCACTTAAACTGTGATAATGAATTTTACCATTGTCCATATTAACATAATAATACATACATATATACAAAACAGGACATGCATTTAATAAATATTTACCATAATATGGATTTCCGATTATATAAACGACTTCAACATTGATATTTCAGACAAAAACAAAGTCTCCTGTCTTTTAACGTTCAGGGGAAAAGGGTTTGCTTCACAATTGAACATTTGTTTTCACCAAAGGACAATCAAATTAAGCCAAAAACATGAAAAATACATATATATGGTGAGCGACCGTCATTATACAGTGAGGGGGAAAATTCGTCTGCTCTGACTGCCTTAACAAAAACATTCCAGCCCTTAATTACCGAGGCAGCTGTGACGTAGTAGCATTACTTTTGCTGCGTTTGCAGCATATAAGATGTGTAATCTGTGGAGTAACTAAAGTAATATTACGGCTGAAATCTTACTTGCATGGTTGTTTTAATAGAAAACTTACGTTTTAAAAACACAATTGTTCTTATATATTGTTTTTAGGTTTGGTTTATAAATACTAGAGAAGATTTTTTATACATATAAAACTGATCGAAAATACAGCTGAACAATAGAAAAATCAAAAAAGGAGTTGTGAATAGTGACATATTTTAATTACATCACTGTGTCAATAATTATTGACTGATTCCGTCAAACAACTGTTAAACCATTTATTGCCATGTACGTACATGTACACAGGAAGTCGGCGCTGTCTGAGGCTCCAGGTAAATAAACATCGTGGTTTTATGACGGGAGATCAGACGAACCGTGAACCAGGGGCATGCGACGTAATTACATCTAAAGGTGTTAGAACCATGGTATTGTCTCTTGAACTGGCTAATTGACCGTACATATAATTGGTAAATATATTCGTTTTGACACCCGTGTTTCATGCGCATCCCGGCTCATAAGCAGAATACAGACAAATGAGGCCCCGTGATCAGCGGAGCGTGAACAACATGGATGCCGCCTTTCGGCCGTTCCGAACAGTCAAGCTGCGATCTCGGAACTGCTCGCCTGATTGAATCCAATTGCAAGCGGAGACAAGATAACTTCCCTTACCCAAACATGATCGTTGCTCAGAAATGTTCAAATCTATCTTTAGTAAATCATGAAATTAATGCGAGCATGACATTTATGCGAAAAATGCGATCGTCAGTCCCTCTGATTATTTTAATATGTTTCATTTCATCATGATAAAAAAGTAAGTCACTTATAAGGTTACCACGTTGAAAATGGAAACGATCGTTAACAAAAACAACAAAATGTATTCTCTCATCACTTAGCCTAACAGTGATATAACTGCAAATAAAACAATCAAGTGCGCTAAAGTATTACACATGGTGGGTGGAGGACCAGGGGCACTTTGAGTTTGACAGGTGTCATCAACTGGTCAAGTAACATCACGGTTTGTATATTCACGTTGATTGGACAGTCTAGACTGGCGCCAACTAATCATGACGGCGTCTTCAGAACAGAACAGAACTTTATTTCTTCCAGGTTTAGGCTTACGTGGAAAACGGAAAATTTTGTTTTAGTGATAGCACATTTTTAATTCAATCTAATATACTTTCCTTGATTTATTATATGACTGCGGTCGTAGATCCGGATGTATCTAAATATGCTCAGTAAATACACAGGATTATTGTTATACTATTAGGATTAATAGATACAATTGAGTATTATACTCTTGATCATAAAGTTAGTCACTACTTTTATTTTCACATGTTCACATGTTGTATGATTTGGGTTATGATTAAATTGACAAAATAAGAAATCATTCCGTGTATATGTGTATTGTATATTGTACCCCAATACGTAATAAAATTATGTATAAATAAGGACACTAGGTTAATTAATGTAATTGATTATTTGATAAACATATTCACCTTTAGTTGCGTAATATGTCACAGAGGTAAAGCTAATTCATAACAACTAATTGTCCCATTTATTTGGCTTCTATCTTTTATATGAAACAAATGCTATAACATGGGGTGATAAACTTCATTGGCAATAGACGTAGCATATAATTGTCCGCATGAACAGTCTACTCTGTTCCAGATAAGTTTATTCATTTTGTCAGCATTTAAATCGTTGCATTCCTGGCTGAATGATTCATTTGACGAAATCTTGTTCCCTGTTTTGAATTACCATCAGATAGTTCCAGACCAATTATAAAATTTCCAGCCCTATGTGTTGCGCATAATTCCGAGATAATTCAAGGTTCATATTCTTGTACGAACACTTATCAAAATTCATTTATACCTAGTACTATTATGTACATATGTATATTAGTTCAAATTATAATAATGAGGCCCTCTATTCTCGAAACGGTCTTTGTTCTACGACAACCGTAAGTCTGTATGGGAAAACAAAATATTTGTTTAATTGTTCAAAGTTCATAGTGAATATAGACAAGGAAGAGAAGAAATTTAATATAAAGAGTAGCCACTTTAAATGACAGAAATTCTTTTAGTTAAATTTGCTCATAATTTGGTCTTTTCGTGGTAAATAGTGCCAAAATACTCTTAATTATTTACTTTCATGTCATTACTAATCTCACATAAGGTCAAAAGTTGTACAACGTTTAACAGATATGATTATGACATGTTGTATCCAAACAAATCCAAACAAATAAAAAAAAATCCAAACAAATCCAAGCTTGGAAATATGACCTTGACAAATTTTGGATTGGTCATATTTCCATTTGGATTGGTGGTATTTCCAAGTTTTGGATTGTTTGGAATGGATGATATTTTGTCCAGTGTTGGCTTGTTGTAGGTTCCCTAGGTGTTATCCCTGACTGTTCTGTGCGTTGCTGAGAAAGTCGCCAATAAGGACTGTAATTGAGATCCAATCTGTGAAACCGAAAGTGTGGTCTGATCTCTATGATTCTATGAAGGCGGTAAGGGATAAGTCACTGGAGGAACCGTACTGGTGGAAGGGTCCGTCACAGGAGGTTGAGAGGGAAGCATCATGACCGTTGAGTGCAACTTGTCGGGTGATTGCTGGTCTGGAAGCATATGAGCAGGCGACTCTGAATGTGAATGAGAGGAAGGTCCACATCAATCTTCCTGTCGATCCTCATGTCTATGTCGATCTCAATGTCAATGGGAAGGAGCAACAGAGGGATAGTAATCAGGGGTCGAAGGGTATTCGGGGGAGGGCCAATATCGATGATCCCCATATCGATCTGGTGTGGGGTAAGGATAGTGTCACATAGGCTGGTATCGCTGGGATGTAGATAGATGTCGATCCCAGGTCAAAGTCCATCTCGTATCGATAATGTCGAGATGAGCGTCAATAGGGATGACATTGAGAGTCAAAGTCCGAGGAGCACAATCGATTGAGGTGAAGATGACGTTCGGTGAGGTTCTCGTCATGCCATTGGAGGATTGCTTCAATGTCAAAGTCTGTTCTCGTGATGATCGTTGTTGAGGAGAATGATCTGAATGTCGACCCTTGGAGTATCGATCTTTAGAATGTCGACTCTTGGACGATCGATCCCGCGAACGACGAATTGAGGTAAGCGCATTCCTTAGAATGTCGACCCTGAAGGCTCGATGTCGATCTATCCTGTGAATGTCGACCCTTAGGATGCAACTCAAGAGGATAGACGCTAGCCTAAGCCGTATGTTTGGGTTCCTTTGACGAGGAAGGTCCGTGTTCTGTCCCTTTAGATTTAGATCTGCGATCAATGTTCCTTTTCTGACATTTCCTAAGATATTCTGCAAACACCTCTTTGGAAAGATGGGAACATTCTGTACAACGGAAACCTGGTTTGCAGACCCCCTGACAGTCACAACATAATTTGTGCAGATCCACCGATGAAGAATTATCGCGGACATTTTGGTTGATCTTTGCCCATTTTGATGCAAGTAAAGACCGAAATATTCTCTCAAAAATATAACACGTCTCCACAGGAAGGGGAGGAGAATGAGATTGATGAGGCAGAGGGTGTCAGGTGTCATGTCCAGCAGGCTGCATGAGATTCGTGTGTGTGCTCTGATTGCTGGAGGTGGTCGTCATGGTGATACAATGGGTGTATGGGCAAAATGAGCTTAGAAGCTGGAAACTTTGTTTTGGGACATTTCCACACAAGGGGCAGAAGGAGTATGAGATGCACAGAGTGAGATATGATAAGTTTAAAAATTATAGGTTATTGTATCAAAAGACAAACATAAAACACTTGAAAAGCCAACTAGCTGCTATAGGTAATTATAATATAAATACCTAGCCAGCAAAAGAAAATGAAACTACTGCCTCGAATTCTATAGAAGAGAGACAAGTATTCAAATCCAAGATGGTGGATGGAACCACAATAAGGAAAAATACAACAGTCTCTTAACATGAATTTCATATATATCATTACACAAATAAAAGCATAATAATTATACAAAAATATACTCCACCAGTCAGAGACGAAATTTTACATGGAAGCAAAGTGCAATCCACAAAATTAAAGCCTAATGTTGAGGACTAAAAGTAGACACATGTCTGTCCGGTGACAAGAAGGAATATGAAGATATGTGATGTCACCATTTCCATGGGTCACGTGGTAGCTGTGCTGGGTCGGGCTTCAGACTTCACACTTGTATGGAACAACTTTTTCCTTCAGCCTAGACCATCTCACAGCTCTGTTTCTGTCATAAAGTAAGCAGTAGATGCATTAAGGAGTAATGCAGGATAAATATAAAATATGTACATTTTCTTCCTTGTCTTTATACTTGCTGTACATGCAGAAGGGTATACATACTCTTCCATCTATCACTCAGAGCCTCCTATTCCTGTGGAGAATTACATTATGGACAGACATACTTGTGAATATGGCATCAGCTGGACTGGTTACCTGTATAAACTCTGTAGCTGACACCCCCTTGTCAGATGTGTGGACAAAGGTTGCCCTCTCCTTTGCTTGTTTCTCGGCCAGCTTGTGCATGCGTCTTTGTCGTCGTTGTTGTAGCTTCTCAGCCAGACTTTCTTGCTGACGTACTGCCTCTACAACACAATCAAACTAGTTCACTACAGAATTAACTACATTTGGCAAAGCAGTTTCTGAGATGCAAGAAATCTTATATTTTCAGCATAGCCAATAAAGGTCCAAGTTGAGCACAGTTTGTTATCCATCTGTTATATATCAGTTCAAAACACATGTTAATGTTTAAGCATTTTCTTTTTAATTTTAAGAATAACAAAAGCTTTAAAAGTTCTCAATTTAAATGACATATCAAGCGTCAATATTAATTCGGAATCCCATTCATGATTGTAGAAATCGATTCTTGTATGACCTTATTTAGGTTTGTAAGTATGCCCGCAGTGACCACAAAACACAATTCCCAGTCAATAGTCAAATACCGCCATGCTTGAGGTGTTGTCCTACTGTTGCAGCAGTCAAGTGTACAAAGTGCCTTGCACAGAATGCAGCTGAGAGAAAGACATACCGGTAAACGGTAAATTATGAACAGAGATTTGAAAGTTAGTGTGCCCTGATGACTGAAGGGTGTTACCTTTATTGTAGTGTGCCCTAACATTGTCTACATCCTCTCGGTACTGTTGCAGTAATTCCTCTTGCTGCTTGTCAGCCAGTTTCTTGTCAGTTACAAGGCCTGTGAGGATGTCGGCCAGCACTGTGACCTGGGTGTTGATATCCTGGTTCTGGTTGTCAGCCTGCATGTTGTTGTACTCCAGCACTTGTTGCCGCTTGGCCAGCCGCTCCTGCAGGGCCTACAACACACACAGGACATCTGGGCTGTATATGTCTTGTTGGGAGAGTCAGCAAACTCATCATGTCACAAGGGTACAAATTTCCCAGATATATAAGTGATTATTTAAATGACCTGACCTTCCATATATGCTGTATATCTGCTACAGCATTGCCAAAATATGTTGAGAGAGACGTATGCTTACCCTTCTCTGCCTGGCTTGCTCTGCACCAATCTTCTCTTCCAGTGCTCCCATCTGCCCCATCAGCTTCTCCATCAGGGCTTCCACCTGGACAACATCAATGTCATATATATATAGCACTGAAAAAAAGTACCAGTATGACATTTCTTTTAACCTTACCCCTCAAGGGAAACAAACAAAGGAGGCCTTATCTAATACCTGGCCACAATTAGGTAATGAACATCTGATGTACATGTAGCATTCATAGAAAAAGCCATAGATCAAAACACTTGCACAAACATATTTGGGACAGTTACATTGACAGTCGAATACAGTCTACACAAAATAAATCACCAATGCTTCAAAGAACAACAACAATATAATAATGCAGCCTTGTGAGCTTGTGTTAAGGTATTTCTTTACTGATCTGTATTTACTTATGGAATGCAGGCAGCACATGATACATGTACACAAATGAAGTGAATAATGGACAAACTGACTACTTGTCATGGACATGTTTATGTTAACTGGTCATCACATAAGACATTAACAAATCAAACAACAGTTGCTGAATATGTCATTTGCTTTAATAAGTCAGGGAAGTATCTGAATTCTGAACACTGAACTCATCATCGATTGATGATGGATAATCGATTGGTTTTGTGAAACCAGTGATTGATCATGAAATTTTAACAAATTCCCCAAACTAGTAAATACTCCATTGCTCAAAATATTATCTGTACTGGGTGGTCTTCAAACAAAGTAGCGGACATCTAAATTACCTCAGCTTCCGACATTCCAGATGACCGTATGAGATCTTGTCTCATCTTCTCTCTCTGTTCTCTCTGCAGTCGGTTCTGAACAAAGACGGTTATCAGTGTGTACTTGTGTTATATGTAACCATTAATACTCCATGTCGAAATAGACAGAATTAATCTGTCAGTAAGACAACTGGTAAACATTTGATACATGTATGTGATTGTTTTAAAAAAGCCTTTAACTACTTGTTCAGAAAGGTCAGGTGATCATCACACGTTGCATTCTACAAGTAACACATGTACATGTCCACTTGTACACATCCATGCCCATCTAAACTGTCTGTATACCTGTTTGCTACTGGCTTGTGTCTGAAGGTTCTCAAGGTGAGAGTCGAGTGCTTGGGGGTCCGTGCTGAGCTTGCTGTTGTTCTTGGCCTCCTGCAACATTGCACATGATAGTGACATGTAAGAATTCAACAACACTACAGCAGATACCTGGGAAGTGTCATGTAAGAGTTCAACAACACTACAGCAGATACCTGGGAAGTGTCATGTAAGAATTCAACAACACTACAGCAGATACCTGGGAAGTGTCATGTAAGAGTTCAACAACACTACAGCAGATACCTGGGAAGTGACATGTAAGAATTCAACAACACTACAGCAGATACCTGGGAAGTGTCATGTAAGAGCTCAGCAACACTACAGCAGATACCTGGGAAGTGTCATGTAAGAGTTCAGCAACACTACAGCAGATACCTGGGAAGTGTCATGTAAGTGTTCAGCAACACTACAGCAGATACCTGGGAAGTGTGATGTAAGAGCTCAGCAACACTACAGCAGATACCTGAGAAGTGTCATGTAAGAGCTCAGCAACACTACAGCAGATACCTGGGAAGTGTCATGTAAGAGCTCAGCAACACTACAGCAGATACCTGGGAGCTCAGCAACACTACAGCAGATACCTGGGAAGGGTCATGTAAGAGCTCAGCAACACTACAGCAGATACCTGGGAAGTGACATGTAAGAGCTCAGCAACACTACAGCAATACCTGGGAAGTGTCATCTAAGAGTTCAGCAACACTACAGTAAATAGTGCCATGCAAGAGCTCAGCAGTATAACCATAGGTATGAAAGAGCTCAGCAGTTATACAGAAGATAATGCCATACAAGAGCTCAGTCACATTACAGAACATGGTGACATTTAAGAGCTCAGCAATGTTCAACTTCAGTTTCTTAATTTGAGGCATGTGCATGGCATTAGCTGCTACAATTAAAGATGTGAGCAGGAGTCATGGAAATGAAACTTGTTGAGCAACTTACTAAGTGGGGATATCTATAGTTCAGCACTGAAGCCAACCGAGTTACCTCCTCCGCCTCTTGCCGCTCTGTGTGCACAATTTTCCTGATGTCTGTGATGTCTTCACCTGTCCTCTTCATGAACGTCCTGTAGTAGTCCTCTGTGATGTCCTTCTTCACCACCAACGTCTTCATCAGGCCGTCCAGGCAGCGAAGCAGCAGCTGCAAGTCATAGTAAATATATCACTCATCAGGAGGATTGCAATCAATAATCATAATGATTCAATTGCTGACAGTTAGAGCACTTCCACACAGAATAGTATTTTCAATGAGATGTGTGTAACACTGGTTGTCAGTTTGTCCATATCACAAATAGTTGTCTTGAATGTGAATAGTACATCTATTCATCAATCATTAGACTAAACACACCTTCTTAAATAAAGGTTCTAAACTGTAAATAGGTAAATGATAAGAGTTAGAAAGTAACTGTCATATTGTGTGATTATATTCAAGCCATGTCAGCCACGTCATTTGTAGTGAGACCCTCAAATGGAAAAATTATCAAGACAGCCACGGAAGATTTATGCCTTGTGTAAGTTGAACTTTTGTGAAGCATTTCTGGGCTGCATCACTGGTCAACTCTAATATTTGCCCAGCCTTGGTTCACAGAGTTAGATCAAATGTCATTGCTCAAGTTTCTTATACAACATGATAACAGGGAAATGTTAAATATGACATGACAAACTACAGAACATGCACTTATTTAGGATATACCATCACAACCCAAAACATCTCCCTAAAAGTCTATTATAGTCAAACACTGTTGTGTCGAACTTTGATGTGTCAAACTTACGGTTGTCTCAAAGTAAAAACCTTTGCATTTCTTCTTTATACTATATATTATTTTAGTTGTGTCGAGACCCATGAAGATCCGGGGTAGAATGGGTCTTCAGCAACCCATGCTTGCCGTAAAAGACTATGCTTGTCGTAAGAGGCGACTTACGGAATAGGGTGGTCAGGCTCACTGACTTGGTTGATGCATGTCATTGTATCCCTACTGCGTGTATAGATGTACATGATGTTAATCACTGGATTGTCTGGTCCAGACTCGATTATTTACAGAACTCCGTCATATAGCTGGAATAATGCTCCGTCATATAGCTGGAATAATGCTGAGTGTAGAGTTAAAAAAGAACCAAACCAAACCAGTTGTGTCAAACCTCGGATAACTCGAAGTATTTATGTAGGTCCCGTCAACTTCACTACTACCGTGTTTGACTGTAGTTTCTTTCAAAAGTATTGTGTATTATGTATGACTTTACTACAGGAAATAATGGGATATAGATACTGACTAATGATCCCCTTTGTTTACTTTATGTGTGTGTCATGTAGGTGGTCTTTGTGCAGCTGATGAAAAGTGTGAATAGCAAACTGACGTACAAGTTCCCTTTCATCATCAAGATCCGTCTCCATAGATGTGATGCTGTTCAAGTCTTGCTGGGCCATCTCACCATCAGCTCCAACGCTGAAACAGATGCACGTCACAACATAATGTCATTGAAACATGGAATCATAGTGCCAAGGTAGTGCTGCTCACCAGGTAAATGTCCAGCTGAAAGTTTCAGCCATCAAGTAGAGAAAGTGAGGCTGCAAGTTAAAGAGAATTTTCACATCAAATTGACTGTGTGATTTGAAGGGGTAGTGTACATCAACATAATATTTTGTAAAACCATATGAATGGAAACATACATGTAAAGTATTTGGCACAGAAGTTTTTGAGATGTACAGTATCTCATTTTCAGAAATTTATTAACAATGTCCAAAGATGATGATGAATAAATAAAAGAAGAGTCATCAGAAGATGACAAATCCGTCCGGCCTCCACAAATTTGAAAGAACAAACATCTGACTGTTACTTTAAATCCAACTTGGTGAGAGAATTTCTATCTAATCTGTCTATCCGTATACAAGAGTAGTTATGAAGCTATCAAAACAATGCCATGGAATTGGGATGGAAACAAGAAAAAAATATTTAAAAAAAATAATTCCTAAATAGCAAAAGGCACCACTTCAGCCCAAGATTAATACATGTACCAAGTGTGGATAAAAATGTCGAATAGTTTTTTTCGTCCTGCTCCAGAATCAACACCTACCTCTGTTTCAGCTAGTCAAACATGTTTCCAAGGAAAAAGAGAAAAATCAAATTTTGAAAAATTCCTCAATAGCAAAAGGCACCACTTCAGTCCTTCGTTAATACATGTACCAGGTTTGGATGAAAAGTCTTTCACGTTTTTTGAGTTGTGCTCCAGAAACGAAATCCAAAACCACCTCTTGAGACCAAGTCCAATTTGTGTCCATGGAAATCGAGAAAAATAAAAATGCCAAAAATCAGCAAATAGCAAAAGGCACCACTTCAGGCAAAAAGGCACCTCTCCCTCTCCCTCTCAGATGTTGAAGTATACATGTCTCATACTTAAAGAATAGGGAATAATTTTAATGCATTATGAAGCAGTTCTGTATAAATAATGGCAATACAAAGCAGGCTGTGAAGTAACTTGGATCAGACAAATCAATGCTCTATATTCAAATACATCTGTGATGTCATTCTGTTATGCAAATGTGCCATTATTTTTCACGAATGAACAGAAATTTCCATAATCCTTACAAGCTCAAAAAATAATATGTCTATAATGTTGTTTCAGCAGGTAACCTTTAACAATGTTCATATTCAAAGTAATTAGATGTACCTTTGACAAAAAATAACCATCAGGTCAACATGTATATCCTTGTTCAGGGCTCTATATTTCCTATAACCCGGTCAGCACATATTCCCAACGTGCAAGTAATTGACAAAATACTAATTTTCAACCCAAGGAAATAATAAGAGCCATGTTCCATGCATTGTAAATATCAGTTCGCGATGGAACTTGCTGCATGTGCAACAGTAGCAAATCTAGAGAACGTATTCTACGTGCATCACATTAGGGCAACTCACACAGTATAAATACAGGCTACAAAATGTCCTAGTTTACTTTTCAAATATTTTCCACAAGAGAATGTTTTGTCAAAATGAAAAAGTAGGGATGTGTTAATTAGGGGAATATGCTCATAACTCTCCTTTCCTTAAAAATATGGGTCTCATCTCCAAAGGACAAATTTTAAGACATATAGCAAGGTTGGTGAAACATTAGCCAGACAAAGCCTACGATATTCTATGCCAATACACGCAGCTGAAGAATGTCAGTTGGGCTCCGTCCCATTGTAAGCACCAGGATAGTCTCTCTGACTATGCTGAGTAGTTGTTGTCCTAACACGTATTGATGACTTATTTTGTAAGTATAAACTGGTTCTTGGATGCAGGCCAATATTAATATTGTCTGATGATCCTATTCTTCCCACGTACCAGGCCACTTATCACATTATGTATCAATTCAGAGCATGTTAAATACAACTGGCACAAATAGTATTCCTTTGATGTATATCGATAAAATTTACTTGTTAACAATTAATATCTATTTAAATATATATATGTATAATTTACGTTATTTTTAGATATGAAATCAAAGTTATATTTTTACATTGGGAACTAAGTTTGTCGGACTTGTACAGGTGATGATGATATAGTCATCAGCAAGGTTCAAGGTACTCAGTCAATGGTATTTACTGACTTGTTTGCTTGGATATTCAGCTCAGTTCTGATGTAAGGTGATCTATACAGAAATGGTGACATGGTTGACAGAGCTTTGTACCCACCTACACATGTCTGCCTGTCTCCATGACACACCCACACAAACAAGCCAGCAGAGCTTAGTCAAAGCTAACTGTCCACCATTAGATCAATAATGCTGTACCCATTAATATCTTCCCTTACAATTGCCATTATAAACACACATCAACATGTTCTGTTGTTAAGAAACTCCATTTGACTTGGATTAGGGAGGTCAGGCTAATTTTGTTCATACATAATTTAATTCAGGTTTATACATCAACTTTTAGTTCATGTTAAAATGAATAAAAAACACTTTACCATTTTAATTTATGTCAAAAACTTTTTGAGATATGGCTGTTTTAAGGGGTGTAAAAAGCGGCCATTTTGTTTTCCAAAATGGCCGCCATTGAGTATGCATATATTTCAGGATTAAAAGGGGCCGGGAAAACAAATTGAAAAGGCATTTTCCTGTTTTTAATATATCATTCATCTGAAAATAAAAATCTCAACCAAACCATATATCATCAGCTCCATGATTGTATCATAACATTTAATAATTACAATTAAAAAAATGCAAAATAGCCATTTATAAGGGCAAAAATAGCCAAAATGACCACACTTTGTATGGTCTTAGAAATGCATTGACAATTAACTATCATTTTAAGATTCTTAATGTGATTCAAGAATAATATATATTAACAAAATATAAAGTTAAAAACAATTAAATCCTTCTTTATCATTGAAAAAAATCATCACAAAAATGTGACTTTATCATTTTTCATCTGAATATAGATGTGGCACCAAGCGATGATCGGAGTTCCTTCAATGACATGCACAAAAATGAACATAACTTTTTTAAAAACGAAGATATCTTTATGAAATTTGGAAGGCATGTACATCTTTCAATGCTCCATGTGTGGATACAGCAAGATATTACTTACTGCAAGTAATGAGATTTTCTCTCTTCTTGAAGTACAAAAAACACAATGCTGATATGCAGTTTTGATTGGTTTTATTCACATTTTCATTGTCATATGTTCACCGCCATACTCTCTCATCACAGTTTTCACATTTTTAACGCTGTTGTTCAGTATTGAATCACTAGAGATATATAATTCATTGATATAGCTACAAAAGCAGAGCAATGACTAAACAGTTTACACCAACACATAGAATGTATTCATGATTGTAACATAAATAATCACATGTGCAAAGTGATGTCCAAGAGTGCTTATTAATACAAATAGTAGTCAACAAGCTAAAATCAACCCTTGCTTATATTTCATTCAGGACATGGGGAACCAGTTCACAAGTTTGATGTCTGATAAGGAACTTAATTCCTTAAGTTTTGAGGCATATACCCCACAACCAAAAAACATTATATCAGAAAATAAGTTGTTTTTGTTGACGTTAGTCAGCTGATGAAGGCAGTGCCTCACATGAGCTTGAGTGCTTCGCACATCATGGAATTAGTTCACATGAGGCATTGTCTTTATCAATCTTTATAAATCTAGCATGGAGGATATATGATTAATCTTGCCAAATAAATATTCAAGCTTGGGTCCGTAAAAAGGATGAGGGAAATGTTATTCGACAACAGTTACTTGTTGTAAGAGAAGAGCATACCATGTTTCCAATTTAGATAATTTTAGCTGATATCTAAACTGAACACACAGTAGACTCATCCCTTGAGTTACCGGTATGAATGCAGGGAGGGCTCCAACAACGAAAGACATTGGGTCAGGATTGGGTCACTGAAACAAGAAACATATCATGTGAAAAATTCATCACTATAATTTTCATACAATGTATCAAGTTTTTGGTGGTTATTTTCCCCACTAATGAAGTATAACCTTCCGTTCAAAGTGCAGATATCAAGTCCAGAATAAAAAACATATTTATTTTCAACAATTTCAACATTTTCTGGTTGTGGCCAAACAAGACTGCTTCCTTTCCATCTCATAAATTTGACATTTGCTTTTTCAGAATTATTTTGAGAACAAATATTGAGGACAACACCAACAAACCACCCTTCATTGTATGCAACACAAACATAATCCCCTTCTTTAAATGAATAACAGTATGAATAAGTTTGTAATTTTGTTTTCTTTGTTGAGGTTTCAGTTGAAGTTTCATTTGATGGCGGTTGTTTTCTTTTTTCCCCCTGTAAAACAGGTGGACCAGTAGTACAAGTACTAGTACTTACATTAGACACATTAACTGAAAGTCCAATTCTAGCTTTCAGAATAATTTCTAAATTTGTACGTAGCTCTATACTAGAAAACTTCTTATTGTCTTTCTGAAATTGATAAAGCTTAATGAAACATTTTTGATAGTTTATAAGTTTTTCATATTTAATTAAATCTTTCAGAATTGACAACTGTCTTAATTCTGTTAATCCATTTAAAAGTCTATCCAAAGAAGAGACTAAACTGATTGGTCCACCATACAAATTGTTTACTTTATGGATGATAGACAGTCTATTTTGTATTGCTTGATTTTCCTTAGCAGCTTGTTTCTCTGCTCTCTCTTTTACTTTTTCTTTTATTTTTTGTTTAATAAGTCTTTTTCTTTCTCTGTATTTAACAAGCATTTCTGGTGCAGCTGACCTGGCTTTTCCAATTAATCTTTCTCTCTCTGCAGGTGACAATGAGTCAAGATAGTCCACACTTTTATTCAGTGACCAAAGTAAAATTCCCTCAATTCCAATTGTGTTTGCATTTGGCATTTTATGTATTAAACGATCAAGGCCTGAAAATAATCTTTCAGTTGCAATGTTATGTTTTGGAACACCTGAAGTTTCCTGAATGATAATTGCTGAAGGACAATGAAATCTGCCACCAGGTAAATGGTCTTTGAGCATACGCTCAGTTACGACAAGAAAACTTGTGCAGCCCACAGAGAGAGCTTGATAAGTTAGAGATTGAATATCTTCCTCAACATTCATGTACAAACTGTCATAAACATAATCTTTAACAGGTGGAATATTGTTAAATAAACATGAACTTCCATCCAGTAATTCGGAGGGATCACTTGACCATGTTTTTATTAAACTGTGAAGGATAGTATAATAGTATGAGACATCTATTGCAGTAATATTTTTTTTAACCATTAGCTTCATCAGTGGCGTCGTAATTTGTCTTTCCAGAATTCCCATAGCCCGGACACCAGCAATAATTAGTTTATCTTTAGCATCTATTTCAATGGCTTTCATTAGTTTGTTTTTATCAGGGCCTAAGGTGCTAATGAAATTAAGCATATCCTGTAAGTGGTAATATGCATATGAAGCATTTACAAATGGTACATTAAATCTATTGTGTCTGAAAGAATCTAACAGAACTGGCTTTTCAATGAATTCAAAGAATTCTTTTGGTTTCCCACTTTTTTCACAGGCATCCTTACCAAATGCAGTACAAGTTGATCTAATAAATTCAAGGGTAGCACTACCTTTTCTGTGCCAGTTCAGTCCTTCTTCCCTTCCAATTTTATTTCCATTAGATTCTACCTTTTCCCATTCTTTAATGTTAGTCTCAAAGTTATCTTGGAGACCCAATATGAAATGAAATCCACAATAAAAATCATTAATTTGAATCAATTCCTTCTGTTTTTCTGTCGACAGTGATTTCCAGTTTGAAACATATTTAGGTAATATTCTGGAACGCCATTGTTCAATGATTTTGACAAATTTTTTATTGACTACATGTCTGTCTGTCATTGTGTTCTTAAACTTCACCAAAAAGTCATGAATGATATTTTCTTTTCCTTCAAAGGGATCCTTTTCTTCATTATCGTCTATGCATGAAGCTAGTTCCTCTAACATAAGCTCTAATCCTTCCACCTGAGATTTAGCGTCTCCACTGTGATGATCCTGTAACGCTAGGCCAAACGTTTGCCCTGTGTTAGTTGTAGAAATAAAGTTTACATATTTATTGTGTTTTTTTGTGGTACCATCAGTCTGTAATGTGCAAACATTAGCATTTTTAATATTAACTGCAGCTATAGTCTTAGCTATGATTCCAGCCTCAGTTGACATATACTTCAGCAATGTAGCTTTAGGCAAATCTTCTAACTCAACAGATATATTTGCAAGTTTTTTTAAGACTGTCTGTATTATTCTTGGGATGTGTTTGGAACCAACACCATGATTCAACAGTTCATAGCACACAATTCTCACCTCATCTGTATAACTGCCATTTTTAAATGTTTCAATTTCTGGTTGTAGACTTCCAATCAACATATTTAACTCAGCATTTTGCAACTCCAATTCCTTCACTTTACTTTCTAGTATTTCACTTTTATTGTTACATTTGTCAACCTGTGAATTCTGAGCAATGGATTTGTTTTGATAGTAGGTCTTTAATGAACGAAGTCGTTGATAACGGTTTTGGATTTTTCTGCATTTTAACATCATAGATGCTAGCTTCAGTTTTTGTTGACTATTTTCAGATAATAAACTTGTAATTTTCTTTTGTTTCCTCTTTATTCGTTTATTAACATTTCTGACTGAAAAAGATTTGATCTTCTCAATAGTGTTCTGATGCTGTGATTCAAGATATTTTACTTTCTTTTCACACTCATAAAGCTGTAATGATACATTCTTCTTTTTGTAGGTAATAGACTGAATATGATTCTTGAGAGTTTCATTTTCAACTAAAAGCTTATCATTTTGAGTTCTCATTGATTCTGATTGCCTCACATTAGAATTTGTTTTGGAACCAAGCATGGATTCAGAGGCAGAAGACACAGGACAAGCTACAACAGGATCATATTTAGATCCCAGAAATATTTCTTGTTGCTCTATATGGCAACTTAAGTTTTGTTTCTTTTTGTGAATAAAATCCCATTGAGACCTCAGTGTATGAGGATTAGGTTTTCTGTCCAACTTGTAAATGTATTTTATCCACAAAGAGCATTTATGATAACAAACATTTTTCCGAATCTTGTATGTGCGAAGAGCACAAACAATAGCTTTGTTTACAGAGTTTTGATTAACATCAATAGGCAAAGGGTTTTCAAGCCATTGTTCAGATATACCAATTTCTCTCAAAATTTGAGGGAACTCATCAGCAGGTAAAGAAACAATTGGATACATTAAAGATTCAAAGTTCCAATCACGTTTGGAAAAATAGCAACACTTGTTACGGAGTTTCCTGAGGAAAGTCCGTACACACTTGCATGACTGCAAAAGATTTTCAAATACACATGTCAAATTGGTATTAAATGTGAAGTGCTGGCTGTCTTCTATCACCTGGCAAACCAGCATCCAGAATCCCAAGGAGCGGAAGACAGGTTGGCTGATCTCCTCCAGTGACCAGTCATCTGAAACACATATTTGGAACCATTTGAACTTATATCCATTTCAGCATCAAGGCAGATAAAAAGAAGCTATTCAAGAATTAGTAATGATAAAATATTATATTCTTGGGAAAAGTATATTTGCCTGACCTAATCACATTAATATTTCATAGGTCTTTTACAGGCTTGGGTTTCTGCGCCACTCCATCCAACTGTTGGATACATAATTACTAGTGAGATAGGATAAGTTTTTATACACAAAGTCAAAATATTATCACACACTGTCACACACTAGGACCATTCAACATTTTTCAAACAGTTTAATAAATGTAATGTTAAATCTGCACAGATCAAAGTGATGATAATCAAATACTTGTAATAAATAAGAGACTATCTGTTGTATGGCCTCTGATAAGATTTATAAATGTTTGGTGAATATGGATGTACATAATTAAATCATCTAGAATCTAATGGGAATTTTGGTAATGACTCTTCATATATTTTTTAATTAAGTTCAATTAAATTTAATTTAAAAAATTGTTTCAGATTTGATAAAAACGTAACTTTGCATTAAATCTTATTCAATGTCACAGGAGCTTTTGTTGATCAGTATATTTTGACCATCACCCCTTTCGCGGGGTCATTTCTTTTATTTGTAGATATAAAAATACATTGACAACATTTTCTTCCAATTGCACAGTAAATACTATGAACTAACAAGTTTTCAGCCACTTATCATTTAAGTTGTCAGATCAAAGCAAATCTTCGAAAAAATCTCATCTAAGACTAATGTAGTAAGACTACGACGGCCGGACACGAAGCAAACCGGAAGTGAAATTGTGAATAGTTTTCATGTTTCTATGACAGCAGTTCAGTCGACAGTTCACTGGCAAATTGCAGAATCTTGTTGACATGATCTCATTTAAAAGAGCTATCGTTTAAATATTTGAAGATGGTAAGCAGACATGAAAAGCCACACAAAATGCCTTCTTTAATAAAGTTGTAAACAGCCGTAGTATGAAACGTGGATTAGTCCATTCTGATACGGGTATATGTGCTGCTATGAAAATCTCATTGTACATAAAAATAAAATTTTACATGTTGTTATCACAACGATAAATGTATGTTGATTTTCTTTAGAAATTAAAATGTCTACAAGCGAGATAGTCCTACCCGTTAAGTCAGGGCGTGTCAGCAAGTCCTGCACTTTCTCCCTTGACACCCCCACAGCGGACCAAGCCCACTCGGTCAGCGACTGAACTGTCTGCACCGCTGTGATGGAAATTGGGTCTAATTAGGATAAAATGTAAACAGAAAATGTTCCTAATATAACATTTCGATGGCAGTGGTGTTGTGAAGGAAATTTTAGGAATGTGAATGAACACAGGAAGTCTGGAATGTGTTGATTGTCATGATTTACGACAGAAGGCGACAGCAAGGTAAACACTTGGGCGAATTCAATATTACAGATGGGGGAGAGCAAGAAATTCTATAATCTTAATATTTGTTCCCCCATCAAAGAACATTCATTCATATATTAAAATGGAAGCGTATTAGTAAGAATTAACAACATTCTACTTAATATAAGTTTTTAAAGGGGATTACCTGTTACATTGTCCGTGGGGACACTGCCATCATAAGCTTTGTCCCCTTCCACAATAAACTTGTCCGATTGCGAGTCGGCTGTCATGTCGGCTGCTAGATGTGAAAAACGATGGAACTTTGTTTGAAAAATAGTAGGTGTGCTTAGCATTTTTATTTTTTTTATTTATGAAATTTTGAAACTAGATAGTTTTGAAATGTGTAGTAGTTATTCGTTTTCCCGCCATTTTAAGACTTTCTCAGAAAATTTGAGTAAACTTACCTTTGAGTGATTTTGTTGTTTAAATTTCCCGCCACGATCTCCAGAACGAGGTCATAGTCGTAAAATAGACTCTTCCATCTGTCATGTGATATAAATATTGTTGTCATGTGAATCCAGGCACACCTCCTACTTTTACCCTGAACGTCAAGGGTACGAAGATTGGATGGTGCCATTTTGGCAAAAAGCTGACATACCCGGTAATCAAAAGAAGCTGCATACTTGAATAAACATTCTATTCATGGTGAAATAACAAAGAGAACAACACAAGAATAGGCATAATGTTTTATTAAGACATTCTTCATAAGCATGTATCTTCTTCTTATTTCTGTCAATGAAGCTGAAATGTGATGAAACTTGATTAATTTCTTTTAAAAAACAAGATGGCTGCCGTGCCTGACCTCCCTACTTGGATTCCTCCAAACCGCTACACATTCAACCTATCTGATTGGAATGCTAGAGGTATATCCTCCCCTGTTCCATTTGGACTGTATGTAAGATAAACAAATAGTTTTTCATGTCTCTCATCAGGGAAACAAATGTTTGATTTTCATTAAAAAAACTGACCCCAAACAATGTAATACAAGACAAGCACCTGTTGAAACTTTGTTTTAATATTACAATCTAAGTTCATTCTTTAAAATAATGAAGCTTCAACGTTATTTACTCAAATCCAGAGTTCCTGAGAATTGACATACATCTTCTGAGAAACGTTGATTGTAAGTAAATCCCTCTTAACAGAAGACAACAAAGGCTCTGCCATTGAAACAGTATCAGTATGTGTGAGTGACTGTCTACAGATGCACACTGTGAAACAAGCTCCTCACACACAGGTTGTGTGACATGTTTATGGGGGTATGTTTTACCTCAATCAATAGTATCAGTTGTAGTACTCAAGCACTGCAGTGTACAAAAAAATCTCTACATACATGGTGACAAAGAAATAAATAAGGAAGAGAATTATGGATGTCAACGCCTTTATTATGAGGAACACAATGTTTCAGAGTATATACTTACTCCTTCATCATCACATTCACCTGATGAAGGAGTAAGTATATACTCTGAAATGTTTTGTTCATCATACTAAAGATGTTGACACCCGAAAAGTCTCTTTGTTATGTGTATCCCTTCTAAATGCCATTCAAAGAAATAAATAAATGATAAATATGAACATTTGCTAATTTCATAATATTCACGAAGTTTCCAAGAGTTTGTTTGTTTGTTTGTTTGTTGTTTGATGCCACACTCTGCAATATTCCAGGTATATATAACAGCAGTCTGTAAATAATCGAGTCGGGACCAGACAGCCCAGAGATTGACATCTTGACCATCAATCTAAGCAATTGGGACACAAGTCAGCGAGCCTGACCACCTAATCCTGTTAGTCTCCCCCCACGACAAGCAAAGTCACCTCTTACGACATGCATGGGTTGCTGACGCCTAGAGGCCCATACATGTCCATATAGGTAATTCTGACCTAACAGTGTTAGAAATTAACACTAGCCCCCAAGCCCGAGGTAAGCACAAACTCCTGTGGGCTAGAACAAAATTCCCAATTTCACCAATTTTTAACATTACAAGGGCAATTTATCTTAGTATAACTTTTGAGTTAAAATATTGCCAAATTGTTTATTTCCTTTGAATAGAAAAGCTATAATCTCTAAATCTCCATAATGTTGAAACAAAGGAGGAAAAGATGCAACATGAGACACCATCCCATGTATAAGCCTGTGATCTTGCCTTCAACAGTGACTTCACGTAAGGTCAACATCCATAGTTACTGTATGTGTTGTAATGCAATGTTAATCTGCTAATCTAGCTGTTGGTCAGTGTACAGTTAATTCAGTTCACTGAGATGTATTCACTTAGAAATATAACTACTGATACACTGATAAATGTTCACTCAGTATTGTAAATGTTGGGGTGCATTGTCTGTCTTTAGGGCATATGCTCAATAAGACGATATGGGTAGTGTAAGGTCAAGACCTGTGTATCTACCATTAACGATGCGGTCATCAAGATTTGTACACCACATAATCACGACCCCATCAGTTTCATATCCTTTACTTATGTTAATTTGAATTTTACTTGCTAAATGTATAATGATAAAGGTAAAATATTACAGTAAAACATGGATAGAACAACCATGGGTAGTGCGAATGAAAGGATAGAATGAACTGTTACAAAATCCCTGAGTTGTCCACTATATATAATATCTTATAAAATCTACATCAGTGTTCCAGTTTACCAGTAATTACCAGTTTGTTACTGGTAAAATTAGGCTTGGACAGTAATTCTTGTGACTGCTTGTCCCTGTGGACAGGCAAATTAGTTGCGGTATCTTGTAAATCTTTGTTGTTGAACAAAATATCATCGATAGTTAAAAAAGTATACTTTTCAAATGAAGTCAGCTTGTCTGTTATCATCAGGGTTTCTCCTGATCTAATTTTAGTGCATGAAAATAATATTTCGCTTTGCTGTGAGGTTAAATATCTATTTGTAATGACTTAGTCGTGAATCAAATTGAAATATTCAGAAAAAAAAAGAAAAATAGGGATTGAACTTTGTGTGAATTTCATGTAGATCTAAATAAATTACTTCAGAAAAAACATCACTGAATTTGTCAGCCATGAAAGTACATTGAAATTGAAAGTTTAAAATCAGGTAAATTTCTTATGATTTTTATTAGTTCAAACTTGGGACTGACAAAAATTGGGTGGGACTGGTAATTTTTAGAGTTGTCAGTTCACAGGAACCGACAGTTTCAAAAGCCAACCGGAAACAGTGTACATATATATAGCAACAATCTACAGTGACCTGATATTTGACCCCTGTATAAGTCCAAATACCACAGATTAGTGAAAGGTAGAGTGAACTTAAAAATCTCAGTGTCAGTTGGCTATATATACTCAATCAGTGGCAAATCAACACAATCAGCGCTGACAATTCAACCTTGTTAAACTTGTTTTATGGTAATCCTACCAGTAATTGGACTAATTTTGTCTGTAAAGTACCCATTAAACATGTAAATTTCACGAGAGAGTGTTCACTTGTTTTATCCAATACGGCAGAAGTTTCTTAGAGAAATGTTATAACAAAAAATGCATACAACAAACTGATTGTAGTTCACGACATCCATGTTCTACTATAATTTTGAATTAATCCATAACATCATATTTGTTTGAAATATCAGGAAAAAAAAACAAGAAATCTTTTTACAAGTTAATAATGATGGTATATGTTTTGCATGTGAACAGCTCGTCTGTTGGGGGCTCAAACCTGAGCACCACTGCCCTCCCTGCAGCAGAAGGAAGTCAACAAATTCCAAGACTGTGAATAGACTGGCGAAAACAAGAAGAATGTTTGCTGCTATGACTACATTTCATTCAGCGAAAGGATCTGTGTAAAGAACAGCAGAAGAAAATACCACTGCTACCCTCTTCCAAACATTAGGTATCCTAATCCCTGCCCATCTCACCTGCCAAGCCTTTGTTGGAATACCATTAGGGGTATTCAATGAGGATGCCCAACTTGCCTGACCCATAAGATATAAAGTGTCGGGCATATGGGAAAAAATAAATTAGTTGCCCTTGGGCAAGTAAAAAAAATCATTTGTGTTGACTTTGAAACTTAGAAGATGCATCGTGTGTTTGTCAACTACACATGAAGTACCTCACACATAATTTTCTGTTTTGCACATCTCCCATAACCTGTTGCTTCAGTAAACAAAGTTTTGTCGTCAAATCAGAGTTTTCTTCTTCTCTATGGTTAGCAGGGAAAGTTAAAAATCAGGTTGGGCAAGTAGATTTGTTACGTTAACTCCCCTTTGGGCAAGTAGGAAGTTTTGGTATTTGAACAACCCTGGGTACCATGTTATTCTACTTGCTCAAGTACCAAGTGTACTAGACATACTGTACGTTATCTATACCTGATGATTTTAAATCAAGTTAACTAACCTGATAATCCTCATTAATCCTACAGTCTAGCGATTAGCCTCCACTCATTCACATGGCATTGAAGCCAGGCCGACATGAAAATACACAAATTTCCGTACTTTTCACTGATTATCGCCCTTTAACATGTGTAACATTAACATAATGTCATGTAGTTCAACAATGCTCAATATCTTGAATAGTTTTTCATAGAACATAGGTAATTAGTATGGGGCATTATTTACAACAAAACATGATCGATCATCTTTTTGAGGCAGTGATAAATGATCCACTCAGCATGGTAACAAATGGTCATAGTTTTAAGTCCTCGTATGATTTTGAGTCAAATACCAATGTAAAAGGACTATCGGACAAACTTTCTAAAAGACAAGATTAATCATTAGAACTCCTGTTCTTTTATTTGACTACTCACTAGATATAATATATACCCTAAAAAAAAAGAAAAACTAAACTTAAAACAACATATACAGAAAATGATGAATGATAGGCGTAAGTAAATATGCACTAAGCATGACACATGCAACACAAACAGACTGTATTTATCTCACTACACATTAACATATCTAATGCAAACAGTAGGGATGAACTGTAGGTAAATATAGTGATACAACTTGTGTGGTCAGGCAGTGCACCTAGTGTACCACAGCACACTGCTCCTCTCAGTATTGATTGACACTCACTTGCAAAGGCCATAGTACTTCAGACAATAACAACCCACAGGTTTGTTTTCCTTGAAGACAAAGTAAAACATTCACCAATAACAAAACTATTGATTAGCCTCCAAACAATCTAATCACTACCTTACAATATTGGCAAAACTGAATTACTGCTTAAACAAACTTTCTGATTGAAACCCAGTTCATGTTGTATTGACTCCATTTCCTAATATTATTATGTTGATTAATTAATTTCCTTGAGAGTGGCATTTAACATAACTGTTTCAGTCAGACACTTTCCAAACCTTTTTTGGGGACAC